GTTTTCATAAAACACTATTTTATGTGATCTACTTTTTAGTATTTGTTTATACACTATTTAATAACTTCTCAGTTAAGTAATTATCGATCAGAGAACAACGTTCACATTTTCAAAAAAGAAAAATTCTTGCAGTTTTAATATTCGTTACTCTTTATTAATTGTTACTCTAAAGCACTGAAATTAACAAAGTACTCATTAATAATTAATCAGTATAATCAGTATTCTACCAAAAAAACAGGCTTACCAGATGTAACTAACCATTTTACCATACTAGCGCTAAAAAACGTGCGTCGTTATATATTATTTAAATATTTATTCTTTTATGACCAAACGATTTAAAATATAGTGTTTTCACAGCTTAAAAAATTGACCTATTAGACTGTGAAAACACTTTATATTTTTCAATGTTATAATAAAAATTTTATTTTTAATTACTATATGTACACCCATTGAGATAATAAATAAACTAAACAAGAAGCTTAGCTAGGAGCTTCTCTTGTCTGAATATATGCAATTGTTCAGTTAACATGGCAACTATAAGATATAGTGGTCCGATATTGGCAAATCCGACACATTATCAAGAACGTTTCGAAATAGCTTAAAAACGAAGAGATAAATTTTAATTAAAACAGAGAGACGGACAGAGCTAAATAAACTTTATTCGTCGAGCTGATTAAAAATGATGAAAAAATACAAAATATGCATATTTGCTGATATATCGCAAAAGATTGACTGAAAACACAGTATTATTTAATTTAAAATACTATAATCAGAGATGTTAATTATTAGAGATGTACATCTACGTAGAATATGTATGTGTTTCACTTCGATTGTGTTGCCTCTATTACTTTCTTACACATTCGCTTAACAGTTAAGGTTTCTTTGTTTTATTGTGATAGATTATGATTCTCAATTGCCTTATGACTATGTGTTTTTCTGGTGATATCCACTTATACCATGTGAATGCGCATTTACTACATTTCAATAGAATAGTATAAACATTTCTTATACAACCTGTGTCAGCTGTTACCTGATTGTGGTTGAATCACAGTTGTCTGTTTCTTTTTCTTAGTTCTCAATTATAAGAAGTTCACTTATAACTATAAGAAACGCAGTTATAATTTTAACAAAATAAAAATGATATTTGATAAAATTCAATGGCATGAATGGCTTAAGTATGAATTACTATCGGCAGAAGCTCTCTTGAAACTATACTCTATAGAAGTAACTATACTGTGTTAAGATTGCTTTCGCTAAAATTTATCATTAATTTTTTATGTTCAATGAAAAAAAAATAAAATTATTATATAATTCGTAATATAAAACGTTTTTTTATTTATACTTGTCGCTAAGTGTCGCTAAGATATTAAATTTACCAGGATCAAATAAGATTAGACATTCTTTAAAATATTATTTGTTTTATTTCTAGACGAAACAAATTAATATAATGATTTGTTGGAAATTTAAATAATATACATTTAAAATTGTTTCTTGATCGTTCATCATAATATCGAAAATCTTAAACCTATAAGATAAACAGTATCTTTATTTATTAATAAATATTTAACAAAATATGTTATTAAGCAACGTGATCTTAGTTAAAAATGAGTACCAAAAAATAAAATTTGATATACGTTTATAGTTGTATGTTTCTGTTTTAATACCTTTATTGTTAATATAAATTATATAGATTGTAATGTAAAATATAGATTATATAAATATAGTCAAACTTCCGCTCTACAAATCTCTTATCATGCCTGTTCTGCTGTATGGTGTAGAAGCTTAGAAAATTACCAACACGGTAGTTGATAGAGGACGTCCGCATATTCGGTGGAAGGACGAGATGACCAACGATTTGGAGACGCTCGGTACTAACAACTGGCGACAGCAAGCAACTAATTGGGCTGGCTGGCGGAAGCTACTCGACGCGGCCAAGGACGACTCACATCTGTAATAGCTAACATAACTAAAGAAGGAAGGAACTCAAACTTCCATAACTCGAATTATCGTTTTGCATAGAAAAGTGAAAGAATTGGGTGTAATTTGCTCTCAAACCCCTTTTGTACTCCATTTAGTTTGAGTTGTTAAAGTTCGAGTTATGAAACTTTGACTGTTTAATCTATTTTAAATTTGTATATCAAAAAAAGTTGATAGCTCTGGAATAAATTTATTTGTTTTTATTTAATAGGAATTTAAAGTAGCTTAACTTTTCACTACTGTTAATTGGTCTAATTGATCTGTATAGATTTACATATATATAACTAACGTGCAAATATACGTTAAAAAAATTTGGTAATAGAATCTAGTAAGAAAGTTATGTAATTAAGTTCCAACATATTTAAAATGAAATTTTTTTAATTTTTGCTTCTTTTTGTTAAAAATTAATTAATATTTTTGACTTATATTTTAATAAAATTTAATTTAACCGGCCTTAAAGTCAATTATTTAACAAACTTATTAATAATAAATTAATAATTATTTATTAATAAGTAATACTTACTAAACTGTTTTTAAAATTTTTGTTTCAATTTGAAATAAAATGTTTTAATACAAATTTTTAAAATGACATTTTTGGTACATTTTTAATTAAAAATATCATATATATCTTACTTACTTATTAGTATGTAAGGGCCAACCTTAGGCCCGATTAAATAAAATTTTGTTTTAATATTTTTTTTAGAATATTTTTGTTATATATTTTATATTTAATTATTAGTTTTTTCACTACTTTTTCGGTCATTTTTATTATTTACTTATATAGCATTTTTTTAAATTAAAAATTTTTTGCTTTGTTATTGTTGTTGTTTATTAAGGTAGCGTACTTTAAATTTTCTTATCAAAAAAGTAACAGAGTAATCATTTTGCAATAAAATAATTCTTTATTACTTATATATAATCAACACAACGAGTATTCATTAAATTTAGGGCGCATAACTACTAATCAAAGCTCCAAAAATGGCCAGTCTTACGTTCCGGAGTTATTCGTCGAGTTCGACGACCAAGTGCCGTTCAACACTCCCAAAAAGAACTATCAAGTAGATATTTGCGATTTACAACAACAATAATAACATCGAGAACTTACTAAAATATTTAATTTGTTTTAGGAGAATGCATTAAAATTTTATAGATTTTAAGTACTCGTCGTCGTTTCTAAAACAGATATTGTCAAAGATTTGAAGTAATTATTCAAATGAAAATTTTTTGATTTGAACACTTAAAATCACGCTTAAAAACGTGAACTAAATAAACCTAAAATTTTTGTTAATATTTAAAATATTTGTTTATGTTTCACAACTTTTTTTTATTATTAAAAGTAGTAAATATAAAATAAAAGGTGTTCACGTAAAGCAGTGTTCAGGCTTTCAAGGGAATACTGCATTCAAAAAATTCAAAAATTCAAAAATCCCAATTTGATTAATAAAAAATGTTGTAATTAATTAAAAATTTATTTTGTTATATATTTGCTTGCTATTGAAAGTGATATAAAATTATGCCCAAATTTTTATAAATGTGCACTTGCGCATTTGCTTATGTATACGAGTATGTGGAATAATCCTATACGTTAAACGTGCGATTAACTAGGATGTATGGTAAATTTCAATAGTCAGATGAAAATTTGGAATGATCTGATGAAATTTACCACCTGCTGTTCAAAACACCTGCCAACATGTTATTGTGTAAAGAATTTAACCGAAAAGGAATTTTTTAAAATTATATTATTTTTATATTGATATAACTAACAACTAATATTAAATATAAAATATTAAATAAATATATTAAATGTTTAGTTTACAGTACGACGAAAGTAAACGAAAAGTTTTATAAGGAAGTCACATTGATTTCCTTACGCAAACGCAGACGCAGACGCAGAGACAGAAGTATGCAAGTTTAAGCATAAGAGAACAATGTATTTCATTCGCTACACCTATTTATTGCAGTCGTTCCTTGCACAACACACCATTATCCATCCATCCATCCATATGCCCGCATCAATATGAATGTAATAATTACTTAAAAAGGTTTCAATACATTTAGAGATATAAGGACATATGTTACTTTACTTTTAACTTGTTTCAAATTCAAACTGTCTTCCATTCGTTTACATACCCGTACTCATTCCTTCATTGGTTTTAAAGCCGGCTTAAATTATTGTATTTTACTGCATTCATTTGCCAACGAAAAAATATAAAAAGAAAAAAATATTACCCACTTTGTCTTTTGTTTCACATAAAATACTGTGCTAAAATTATGAATGGGATGTAGTACTCTAAAACAGGTTGTTTTACTTTTGAAGTGTTTAGAAGTACTAAAGAACATCTTGACTTTTATCTCAATTTTTTTTTACTCATAATTCTCTTATTTGACTCAAGAGAGTATTAAAAATAAGAAAAACAAGTAATGTGTGGGCTTCCTACTTAACTTCATTCATACGGTGCACAGGTAGCACTTAGAGTCTTCTATAAGACAACGATAACAAAAAACTAAATGCAACAGGTGACGGCAAGTTACTCATCGCTGCTACCGCTTTCCTTAGTTACTGTAAAATTGCCTTAGCCAAGTCAAGCAAGCCACTGCTTGTAGATATATATGTACGTTTACGTACACGAGTGTGTATACACATACACTTTGAGGCATATATATGATCAATCGATTTAATTTTCGTTGTGTAATGTTAATCTTGTTTTTGTTAACTTAATGGAGCATTGCTCCAAATGAGTTCAGTTGAGTGGTTTTCAATGCTCTTGATCTTGTAGAGTGCGCTATTTTTTAGAAGGTCATGGTTTGTATTACCAATCCTGGTAAAACAGTACTAATTGAACTTTGAAGAAAAAGAGTCCTCTGTACAAATAAAAAATTGCTTCATATTAGTTTAGTGGAAACGTGCCTCAACAGGTGTATTTCAACGATTGTAAACAGTGAAGACATTCAAAACAAAACAAAAAATCTTTTAATGAAAAAATTAATTTAAAAATTCATTGGTTGTGCGTTGATCAGTTTTAATTACTTTGTTGAATAATGGAAGCCTGTGTTTTAATTCCAAAAGAATTTTCTTTGGCAATAACGTCTTTATCTAATAGTGACACTGAAATTAATTTATGGACTACAACCGAAATAAAAAAGGGTTCTTTATTTTATCCCTTTCAAGGAACAATTCGATTTGATATCTTAGATGCTTTTAAATATGTAGAAAACGATGATGTAAGTAACATATATTAAACATTTTATCATATAAAGTTTTAATTCAATCAATAAGATTATTTAATTAATAAAACAGTATTTAATTACTACTTAAATTAAATCCATTATATCTTTCTCATATTATACAAATCAACAAAACAAAGGTTTTAAGCCAGACTTTGCAATAAACTCGCACTTGCAGGATATACAGTAACACTAATGTTTTATTCTCCTAACGTATTCACATTTTAAAAGGACTTTGACATTGTCAATAAACAATAAATAAATTGCAAAGAAGACTTTGTTGTACAAATCAACAAAACAAAGGTTTTAAGCCAGACTTCGCAATAAACTCGCACTTGCAGGATATACAGTACACTAATGTTTTATTCTCATAATGTATTTACATTTTAAAGGGAGTTTAACATTGTCAATAAACAATCCTTCATAAAATGAGCACAGCTAAGGTCTCATACCTTTTAAAAACACTTTGCAAAGACAATCTTAATTCTCTTCATAGATTTTTGCCACAATTCAATTGCCATTTTAATCTTGTGCAGGACTTTAAAGTTGTTAAGACCATTACAGCTAATGGTTTTATAAGTACTGGCTTAACTCTCTTGATCCAGGTTTTTTTTTGTGTTATTCTTTTGTCAAAATATTAAAATGTAATATTTTATACTCCCAATGCTTCAAAACCTATTTCAACCTTTAATAGGATTTTAATACTGTCATAACCAATGACTTTTAAGTGAAGGAACGTAAAGATGCTTTCTTTATATAACATTTTACAATAAATTGTAAAGAAGATAGCCTATATCAGCACTAGGGGTACAAATTTTCGATATGTTTTTGTAGTCCCAAGATTTTCGGGATATTTAAATTTAATAATGGGATTAACCAAATTTATTACAGTATTAAGATGTTAAATAAATTAGTTTTGTATATGTTTTATTAAATAATTTATGCAATTATTTAGTCATTTTTGTTAAACAAATACTAATTAATAGTTATTTCAAGATAAGTTCTTAAAATAATATTCCTGCTAATTTTTTTTTTTTCAAAAGTAACGCATCTTATGACAAAAAGAACTTATTTAATAGTTAGAAGAGTTCGAATAGCAATGAAAAGACAACAACAAAATAATATTGTTACATTTAATGCAGATTTTTTAAGTCGGGATCAAAATCTGTTACAAATTTAGTCTTGAATGTTAAATATCTAAAAGTTAGTTGTAGACCTTTTGTAATTAAAACCTTTAAGCTGCACCGTTATAAAATATATTAACCTCTTTTTTATTGAATCAGTTAGACGATATTATATAGATTCTATGAATTGCAGAATGAAAATAAACATTTTATCTGCACATATTCTTTGATTGTCAAACATAAAGTATTATTAAAGTACAAGGAATTAAGGATATAAGGGTTTAAATTTTCTTATTTCGTTGAAGTAAGTGTGGAATCCAGGGATATTGCAGTAGGCTTTATGAATCGTGGATATCCACTGTGCCTTTTAAAAATTATAATACAACTGATTTTTAATTAAATCAGAAAGTTTTACTACCATACATCTAATATAATTAGGTACACTAGCCTGACCTTATATATATCAGATAGTTTAATTAATCTCGAAATGAGTTGATATACCATATATTTGTAGTTATTAGCAATATATTTGGTATTTAAAATATTTTATAAGCTTATATTATACGAAATCTGTTCATATTAAAAAATGATTTTAAAAAAATTTTTTTGCATATCTAAAATATATTTAAACTATAACATTAATACTTAATAGTCACTGTAAAAAATTGATAATTATTAAAAAATTGAATACAAGTTGACGTGTGAACTGACACTATAAATCACAAATATTCTCTAATGATATCATTTTGTGAAATAAAATACAAAGCATATATATTTTTGATATAGTATTTTAATAATAGATAGCTGAAGATTTTGTTTTTGCTATAGGGCTTGTATTAACCCTCTATGCAAAAAATATGGATAATTATCACTTCTATAAGCTGATTAAAACGTTATATAAAACTTGTATAAACATTGTAGTCAAGGATTTGAAGAGAATAATTGTTAAAATAAGCAGTAAATAATTTTCAAGAACCATACTAAATATAAGATAGTAGGAAAGATGTTTATACAAGATAAGTTCATTGCAAAAATAGTTTTGCTAAAATTATCCTTATTAATATATATAAATTTTAATGTAAACTGTATTTTATTAATCTTATTAAATTATTAATCATTTATTTATCATAGATAATTACAACTTAAATGTTCTTATTTGTTTATTTTTTCAATAAGTAATTAAAGTTTTTATAAACTTCTAGCTATAATTCACATTTTTTCTATTCCTATTTTAGCAATAATCACTTGTTATCTTAAAAACAATCTTTGAAAGTTTATATTGTTTTTAAATTTTTAACCTTGTTCAAAGTCGTCAAGAAGTTGTCGATTTGGGGCGCCAGTAAGAGAATAACGCAAAACAATAGACAGAACTAACTTATGTCAAATACAAATGAAATAATTTCAGCAGAATAGCTCTAATACCGCTCCAGTTAATTGCGGAATATGCTTTAGTGGTCTCCTAACAGAACTGTTCAGATAACGGTCTTTGATTATAGTTATGTATTACTATGGTTTTTTTTTCTGTATAGTATCAGTAAGAAACGATGATTCTGCATCGGTAATAATTCTATAATGTATTGTCTTATATAAAATAAAATATTATCACATCCTTTTGAGAATATAGAGTTTATGTATACTTCCAGCAAAATCTATCCACCATAAAAACTGATAAGATTTTTAAACACTAAAAATTTTTTTTAAATTAAATTAAAAAAATTAGCAAATATAATTATTTCGTACAGTATAATTATAAAAAACTGTTGCACTTTTTCAGAATAACATGTAAATAGAAGTCATGAATTATATATTATTAAATATTTGAGATCGCTTATAATTTTAAAATATTATTAAGAATTTTTCATATATATCTTTTATTTGATTAATTTCATGGGTTCTCACCCATTTGTCTATCTTGTCAGCAAAATTTATGCGAAACATTGATGTGTAATGTTATTAAAAACAAAACCCTAACCGCATTAATAATATGTAATAAAGGACCGCACATTATTCGTGATACTATGAAAATATTAAAAGTTAAATATTAAAAGAATTATACAGTCTACATGTAAAGTTTGAGAAAGATCCCACGCTATTTTCATAATTTATTTTCTTCTTCTGGGCTAAAATAACAATGTAGTTTGAATGACGTTATTAAGACTTGAACGCTCCATGGTAAGAAACTTTTCTTAGCTAAATATTACAATTATTTTTCTGTTATTTACCCACCAGCACATTTACCCTATTTTGCTTTAGATCAAATCATAAAAATTTTTGTAAACAAGTCAAGCGTTACGAAACTAAGAAGAAGCAAAACTTCTTAAAGACCTTCCCACCGTTATGGGAGAGTGCGCACCATTTTGTAACACTTGTGGGAAAAACTTGGTATTATATTGTAAGATCGTATTATAAAAAGAAGATCATATATATATATATATATATAATCCGTTCGCATTTGTTAATGAGCTGGGAAAATTTTTATTTTAACTATACTTTAGTAGGAGTTTAATATGTTTTTTACTTTTTTAAAATTTTAATAAAACACTAGTTTAAATATTCAATTTGTTAAAATGTAAGCACATTTGAAATGTATTAATTTTCTTGAGATTATATATTTTAATTAAAGAACTGGTGAAATAAACATTATTCACCAATAAGTATTCAAAAAATAAATAAATCTAAATTAAAACATATAATGTTCATTACAATAATCGGTCTTTTGAAATTTTTATTAATTTTAAATTTTTATAGATATTCATTAATATCTAGAAACTTAATTTTAAGTAAATATAGTATATACAAATAAAATATATTACTTTTTTCAATAAGAAACATCTATGTTAAAATAAGTTTTTAAGTACACAATTATTGTTACTCAACTTTTAATGGTAATTAAAGCGCTTGAAGATGCAATTATATTTAATTAATTATAAATTATATTTAATTAATGTATTGAAATTATTGACTATACCCCCAGAAGTGGAATTACACAAACTAAAATTTTATAGACTATTATCTTATTACTTTTTTACATTTTCGAACCCCAATTGACACTATCGACTGTCAAATAAAGTCCAGAGTATATTTTTCAAATTACGGGATTACTAACTGGTCATTGTAGATTGAATTATCATCTAAAAAAGTCAGGAATCCAATTTAATTCACACTGCAGAGGGAGAGAGAGAGAAATCGTATACTATGTACTAGGGGAGTGCCCGGCACTGATGCACAAGCGGAAGAAATACCTTGGAGGGTATTTAATGGAAGAACATAAGGATTCAAGACTAGGAAAGATAGGATTTATACTGTCTGTCAATCGGACAACAATAGATCCTCTAGGTCGCAGTATACTATCTCTTTTTCATAATAATAATCTTTTGTTAAGAAATTTTGCGTTAAATATTCAATAATTTATTTTCAATAGCAAAATTTTAAATGCATACTAAGAGAATCTGCTTTTTAAACAAAAATACATTCAAAAGCAGATTTTTCAGATCAATAAATCTAAAAATCGCATTGTTTAGGAATATATTCAATACAGACCTAGATACAGGATGTCAGAGATTTTTGTCATGAGGACATCGGTATTTCTACACGATACTTTTGAAAAACCCAAATGTATGTCTCCGAAACATGTTTTAGGGTCCGTAAATAGTTAGTAGTTAGAACGGAAGACAAGTCCGATTGAATTTGCATAATTTAACTTTGTTGTTATTGTCTTATAACACGGTACATTTGAAACAAGGCTTTTATCTTCACACTACAACGTGTGCATCTCAAAATACAATAATTTGACGACAATTCCATCCTCGCTTTTTTTATGAATATGGAAACTTTAAGAACTCAAAATTGATTTGTTTAAAAACAAAAGAAATAAAAAAGAATATATACATGACATTTATTTAAGAAAAAATAAATTCAAGTGGCAGCTCGTTCACTTCGAGCTATTTAAGAAAAAATTGTTCAATTGAGATAAAGAAATTATGAACTAAGAAATATGTTGTATGTGTAACTATTAAAATATGTTATATTTTAGTACGTTGAATAAGTGATCTTCTGAATTTAGTGCACTTTTGAAACAAAAACATTTTTAATTTGATATTTAATATTATTTTATTACTTTTACTATTCTTAATTAAGAGTATAGAATTATATCCACCCTTTGATAAAAGAGTAGAATGATAGGATTTAATAATAGCCGTAATTATTTCTTTTAAAGTAGCAATAAATTACTCACAATTTCTGAAAGAAAACATGTTAAGCGACATTAATGCTCTTAAAATCTTCAGAGTTAGATTTTACTCGCAAAGATTTTAATGTCTTAAGTTTTAGTTCCGCCAAATTCAATAATTAGTCTATTGTAAATGTTCACTGTAAATATGTTGCATAACTCTAGTCTAGTATCTCATCTACTAATAAATTCAAGTGCATAAATTAATAGATTAATTTAAAAATATAAGATAAAAATGCTAACCATTGTCATTCTAATATTTATTTCGTTTTCTTTTATTTAAATTAATTAATTGTTAGAGTTTACACATTTTTTTAATTCATCTTGTACACAATACAATAAAAAATAATGTAAAAAATAAGCATTTAACATATTTAAAAAGTGATGCCAATTTGTTTCAACCAGACTTAATGCTGTTTTTCTACAACTCTGATAGAGAAAATTACGGCTCATGTTGCTACCCATTGTTTACACCTCAACCGCAGCTACACTGAGTCCGAACCGATTGATGAATTACTGGTAATTATTTATAGCAGTGATGCCTTCTATTTCATCTTTTTAATTCGCAAGAAAATCAATTCATTTAAGAAAAATGCCGATTTCTAAGTGCAGCATACTTTCGGTATCCATCCCAATAAACATTTAGAATTTCAATTAATCTATTAAAATAAAAAAATAATTTGTGATTTTAAATTCGTGACGCACCTTCCTTGCTATTTACTGAAAATGATAAATGACCACTATAACACAGGAAAACATCACATCACGCCGAAACTAAAATGAAAAATAGTGTTTTTGCATAAAAGTTCTGTTAACAAAAATTGTTTGCTGGGATGCAAATTTGAACAAAAAGTTGTTAGTGTTATATTTTAGTAACTTGCGTGCGGGCACTGTTTCGCACCTAGCATATGACAGTTTTATTTAGTTTTCGTAACCATAAAAAAGTATTTATATGCGTAGGCATACAAAGTATAACAAAGCAAAAAATGATGCTAAAATTATTATGGCCTGGACACAACTGATTTATAGTATAAATGAGAATGTTTTTTAAAAAATTTAAAATTTGAAATCAAATAAACACAAATTAAGCAAACGAAGCTAACATTTTCTATTAAATAAATAATTTAACTTCATGACACTAATAATAAACTTTTTTTTGATCAGTTGATTGATTTGTTACAGACACAACTTGGACAGTACATTTCGAAGCTTCATTTTCAAATGACCTTTTAAGCCTGTTTAAATCTGCGGCTGAAATCATTGGTAACTGCACCGAATTGGCTAATAAGTTCATATATTTACACCAAAATAGCTCCATTAGTAGCAAACCAAATGATCTAGGAAATTTCACCACAACTTCTTAAAGTAGTATAATCATCGATCACTTAATTTCATAACATATTGATTAGGATTACAATATTTTGTAAATATTTTTAACTGAATACATATTTTAGATATAAATTTTAATTATCTATAAACGCTGCTTGGGCGTTCTTCGTTGATTTGCTTAACATTATAAATAAAAAGATAATGCTAGTTAGATGAAATCAGTTGTATCAGTGCCGTTATATATATATCAAAAAAAGTTTCTACTGAAAACAGTTCCTGTGCAAACGACCATCAAAATAGACTCTGCTTTATAATATTTTTTATTATAATAAATTTATTATAATAAAAAACAAAAATTCTATTATTATAAATCATATTTATAATTGATTTAATCTTTTTTTTAACTATTAAATTTTGAATTTATTTATCGACCTGTTTTTTTAATAGTGGTTTTTATATATTTTTTATCCGGCTATCGGTCACTTTTTGTTAAAATTAAAATTCAACGTATATTTTAATATATGTATTTTATATTTCGACTCTAAATATATGTATTCTATATTTCGAATAAGTCATCGTCAGGATCGGGATCTAACAATATAGACGATAGAATTAAGAGCATGATGTGTAGATATAGACTGCAATATAGACAATAGAATCAAGAGAATGATGTGCAGATATAGATTTTATTAATATTAATTTCTGTTAGATCCCGATCCTGATGATGGCTCTCAAGAAGAGTCGAAATTTAGGTTATATTTAAAAATATTAAACAAACGTTGAATTTTAATTTTAACAAAAAGTGACTTATAGACGGATAAAATATATATAAAAACCCTTTTTTTTTTTAAATTCAATCAGATTTTTTGTTTTTGTACGTAAAAAATTTTTTCAAAGCAGCAGGTCTTGCAGAAATACCGGTTAACTTCGACTAGGAGAAATGGGCCCAAATTATTATTCACACACACACTAACTATAAAGATAGTTTTACCTTTGTTAACCTATGATCGTATTTATATTTGTCAGATTTTATGTTTTTGATTTGGTTGTATTGGTTTAAAACTATATATCTTTCTTTTAAGCATTATTCACTAATAATTTTTTTTGTATGATTAATAGAATACTAATATTTAAATTTTTGTGCAAATTTAAATTTTTAAAATACAAAAGCACTGTAATGTTTAACGTCGAGGTTTTTTTCTCGACCCTATATGTTTTTTTAATATTAGATAATTCTAATTCTCTACAGTCCCATAATTACTCTAATTTGTATGGCAATTTTGACTCAACATTTATGTTTATAATATTATACGTTATATAAAATTATTACATCATGCTACACTAAAGCTATTGAAAACTTAAAGGTCAATAAAGTCTAGCATTTCTTAAGAATCTATAGCCCAGCTTATTAGATAATCCATCGAAGTCGTGTTGAACATTTATGTTAAATTTTCTGCAACAAAATAGTTTTTTTTTGTAGTATGTATATTTAAAAACATTTTAAATGCTTTTGCAGAGTTCATGTATCATTACTTTCTTATTTTTAATTGGCCCTAACAACTCGTTTTTTGGTTTTCTCCAGGTGTCTTTACTCCGTGCACACATTTCTTATTCTTATACATCACTCGCTTTCTTACCTCGATTACTGCACATGAGATATGGTTTCTCTAACATATTTTTACTTGTATAATTTTAATTTTTTTTACTTTAATCCTCACACAAGGATCAAAAGTATTAGTGTTGTATAGAGATAGGTTCATGGGGATGCCATAATAGTAGCCAAGTCGTAAATAACCCACGATTTTATGAAAAACACATTCATAATCTTGTAAAACTGTAAACGCGTGTATGCAATATATAGTAAGAGTATAGGTAAAATTAATTAGCCATTGAATGTAAGTACTAAGCGATCGTATAGTAGCTTAGTGGTAATGCGTAATCTTCGTTTAATCGCTGACTTCATTATTATTATTATGGGGTGCGCCAAGATGATTACATTGTGCGTCATAGTGGATATAAATATTATTAAAATAATTTTAATAATACAATTAGTGAAAAATCCGAAACTGAAAACTAAAAATTTATCTATTCGGTTCACATGATATTGGCGTAGTTTTAAGCAGGAATTAAATTGAAAGTATTTACTTTGCGATCTTGTAAGTATACCAATCTTCGTAGTGTGTTTAGAACTATAAGAAATAATATTTTTCAGCGGTTAGATAACTTCTGATATCAACATAATATATATTATTCAGAGTTAAAGAATTTTGAACTTTAGACTGCAGTAAGTTTAATATGTCCACATGCCAACTTAACAGAGCTTTCAATTTATCCTTGTCATTTTGATAAAAGTTCTTTAGATGCTTAATAAAATAGCATCTAAATTAAAAAGTAAAAACTTTTTAGTTTGACATTGATTTATCAAATCTATCCATTATAGAATTAACTGGAATTGTAAGATTTCTTTAATGGTGAATTTATTGGTTTATCTAGAATAAAAGCTAATGGAGTGAAACTCGATATAGATATTATATATTAAAAACGACAGACAAATAACAGTAGAACTTTGTATGCTTTAATTTTTTGTTTTTAATATTAACCACTATCTCTATATGTTATGGTATAGAAACTATAATGCAAAAAAAAAAAAAAAAAAAAAAAAATTAGTCAAAAATTAAAAAAATGTGATTTATAATAAAAAATTATTTTTAACATCTATTATTTTTAGATTCGATATCACTTTGGACTTTATGATGAAATTTTATCCGCAAATGATAAATGGTTTCGTTATTGTAATTGGATCCGATTTTTACGAGTTTCAGAAAAATATGACTCAAATGTTAATTTAATATGCACTAAACTGAAAGGAGAACCTATATATGAAGCAATTAAAAATATTGCACCTAATCAGGAATTGGTTGTTTTCTTTCTTCCCGATCGAGCAGAAGAACAATTTTTTGTTAGTATACGATTGTCTCTTTATCGTAAGACTATGAATTCAATTTTAGAAGGTAGATAATATAGTTTTTAAATTGTTAGTATACTAATCTGATATAATTTTTTAATTTTAAAAAAATTTTAAGACTCTCCATTGGATCTCTCAACTTCTTTATTACATCATGTTTCGCATAATTTACCTGTCTCACCAGTTTCAAGCAGTGAAGATGAACATAAATCTGTGTCTAGTGATTCGTCTAGTACAGCTATAGTGTATTCAATAAGAGAGAAAAACAGTATTATACATAGCAAAACAAAGAGGAGTATTTACAAAATCGACAATAAATATCAAACTCCTAAAAGATGTCGAATTGGACGAAACACGCGTTCATTATTGCCTTGCAAAGTTTGTGGTAAAGCGTTTGATCGACCTAGCCTACTTAACCGTCATATGCGCACACACACCGGTAAGTATATAAAACCATCTTTGTAATTCAGTTAAAGTCGAATGATATATATTTTATTTATTATTATTTTATTTGTAATATGTATATGTATTTTAGATAAATTGTCTCCAAAACGGACCTTTTCCTATGTCTTATTTTCCATAAATTTCATTTGTTATGCACATTTGCTTAAATAGCCTTAACTTGTCCAGGTTAGTTTAGGAGACTCTCTCTAGAAATAGTACAATAAATGTTATAGATTGCAATATCTACTAATATTGTAATTTATAGCTTTTTACTATTGTAAATTTCACTAAAACAAGTATATTGAATTGTTTGAAATACTATATTTATATCATTGGCTTTATCTGAAATGTATATATAAATAAATAACAAGATGCTAGAAGTGAATCATTGCAACTTCATTAGCGCAGTTCCTTCCGCATTATAGAGAACATTTAATAACTAATTTGTTATTAATTAGTGTAACCAATATATTTTGAAGTATTCGAATACTTGTACGTATCATAATTACATATAATTAAACATAATTGCACGTAATCACATCATAATGTAGTTTCAAAAGACCACTGATGATGAATTTTGGGCGATATCTGAAACAGCTCTAGACTTTACTTCATTATAAATAACATTTTTGGAATCAGGACCCCACCTTTTTTTCGGAATAGAGTTCTTTTCATTATTGATATATTTCGATTTCTTTAATTAAAAATAATTTTTTTTGGCTTATAGTATATTACATATGTTAAAATATTTTTTCAGGTGAAAAACCGCACGTTTGTGTCATATGTGGAAAAGGATTTAGTACGTCGAGCTCATTAAATACACATCGAAGAATACACTCAGGAGAAAAACCGCACGAATGTCAAGTTTGTGGAAAAAAATTTACAGCAAGTAGTAACCTTTACTATCATCGAATGACTCATATAAAGGTATGTATTATTCTTTACATCTAATAAGTTACTGCAAACTTTAACTTGAACACAAAATACTCAATTACCCATAAGTGTCCCTTTTCGTAAAATACATGTATTTAAAATTTGCTATGTCACTTTACAATCATCATCCCTGAAATTATCTCTTAGTAGTTATATGAGTTGGTATGATCGATCCTCCACTATCGTAAATTTTCTTTTATCGAAACATTTTTATTGATGAACGAGTTTGTGGTGATTATTGTTTTATATCGTAACAGAGTTTATAAGCGTTACGGTATACACGATTTAAAAATAGTTCTTAGCACATATATAAACAGCAACATATTGGCTAAAGTAAAACCGTAATCACCACAGATTCTACCAAAGCTGTATGTGAAGGCATCAAAGATCAGACAAAAACTTCATTAAAATTCATGGAATTTTAATTGAGCATATCAGAAACATCCATTTATCGCAGTTCGTTGGAATACTTAAGCCATCGAAAAAGATGTGTATAGCTTGTTACTCACAAATCAACTCACGACCACAAATTGCACTGATTGATCAATATTTGTGACCGCATTTGAATTGCCACCTATTCCCAGTATATGCCTAATTTCACTCGGTGCGATTTTTATCTTTTGGAGAAAACATATTTGCTGATGAAATGAAAACATTTCGTCAGTTTAGGATTTATGCAAAAGGTATAAAAGATATATATACAATATCCTAAAAAGCCATCACTTCAAATGACTTTATTTGTATGTACCTATTTTAAATGTATGTATTTCGGTGTCTTCTTTTATATATACTTATCTTACCAAAACTAAAACTAAAAAAACAAAAATTATTTGATTTCACAATTTTTTTTATTATACTCTTAGGAAAAGCCGCACAAATGTAATAGATGCTCAAAGTCATTTCCCACTCCTGGAGATCTTAAGTCACATATGTATGTCCACAGCGGTTCATGGCCTTTCAAATGTAATATATGTCTCCGGGGATTTTCTAAGCAAACTAACTTAAAAAATCATTTATTTTTGCATACAGGTAAATAATATTACAAATATATATATTATATATGATTTTTTAAATTTTATTTGAAATTAAAAAACAAATTATATATAATTGTAGGTGATAAGCCCCATAGTTGCAACTTGTGTAATAAAAAATTTGCATTGGCTTGTAATTTACGCGCTCATAAAAAAACGCATGAAGGTAAATATTTCATATTTACAAAAAAAGTATTTATTTCATATATTTAACATTTAATTAAAGGGGAACCACACGTTGATTGTGTTATTTGCGGCAAACTTTTTATACCATCAAAAAACGCTGTTTCGACAAAACTATGTGTAAATTGTTTCTATGCAAATGACTTTAATAAACTGAACGCTTATCAAGTGGAGGATGAGGAAGAGTCATCGAATAGTTTAATGGAGCATGAAAAAATTAACGAAGATTATCAGATTGAATCAGAAATAAGTTAGACTGAAACACTTTACAAAACTTTAATTTATTAATAATTTATTTATTATAAACGAATTTGTAAATATTGTATGTATGTATGACATTAATATTTTAATTTAATTTTTAAAGTTTTTAACTAAATTATAAGTTTAAACGTTTAAATTATATTTTTAAACTATTAAATTAGAATGAAATAATTGTAAGTTGAAGTCGATTATAATGTTGAACTTTTTTGAAAACGTTTTAGTAAAGAAATATCGGCACATAAAACTTTTTATTTTGATTAAAAATTATTGCTCTTTTAAATTATACGTTTCTACAACAAGGTCTTTTGTCTTTTGGATTTCTCCAGTTACCGCAAGACTCATTTGATTCGCTTGTTTTTTTGAAGTTGAAAAAACCAGACTGCCGACGTGGATATTTAGGACAATAATGTTAATAATGTTATCTATGTCTCCAAAATTGGAAGTTAGTTGCATTTAATACAGGCCTATTTGAATTAATATAGAATTTAAATACGAAATAACACTAATACTTCGTGTTTTGCACAGATAGTGTAGTGGATAGTCGAACAAATCTTTACGAAGTGCTTTGGCTAATACACATTACATAGAGCAATCAAAAAAATTAAATCTTACGTTATATAAAACGACAAACACAAAAATGACACGAAACATTCCCAAATAACTTAATACTTAATATTACTTAGCTTTCAGTTTGAAGTAGGTATTTTATCTTCCACTTAATATGTTTGATTTGAATGTATTCACAGTCTATTTGAATGCTAACCTTATTGGCTCAGACTACATTTAGCAATCTGGAAACAATAATTTACAGCTTTAATCTGCATTCGCTCCAATTATCTCAGTTATCAGGAAATAATGGTTGACATTGTATAGTATATGATCTGGAGTCTTTGTTTTGTCTAGACATAATTGATATTTAAGGAAATATCCGGTAAATAGTTGGTAATTAAGTAAATTGGAATCATAATTTTTTTACTACCTGGTTTATCTATCTATTCTTCCACATCAATTTTTTTTAGTTATTTATTTATTTCTATTTGAGCCAGTGCACTTGAGCACTTTTACTATTTCGAGGTATTTTTAAAACCCCTCTTTACGCCTTGACTGGATGATTGTTTATCACTTCATTAGACTAAGCAATAATTGAACTCAGATCTGCATACCTTCCCGAAGAGCCTGTAACCATTCTGAGATTTGATAACGCGGTGTTGGTAAGTCTATCAGTTTTCGCATATAACTCTATCCTTTATGGATAACTCTATTCTTTATGGATAGCTCTATCCTTTATGGATAGCTATATCCTTTATGGATAGCTCTATCCTTTATGTATTTGTTGATGGGATCAATCTTGAGGTCCCTGAGGATGTCATTGGTCCTAATGTAGCATGGTACTTTGAAAAGTCTTCTCAGAGTCTGGCTTTGTGCAATTTTTAGCTGGCGAATAGTAGTGTTTGAAGCTTTTAACTTTCACCTGATTGATATTTGAGCACATATACTAATGAAATATTATATTCTACATAAAAATAGTCGCAAGTACTACGCTTCATACTAACTGGAACCACGAAATTGTGTCTATGAAATGTGCACGATTCAAGGGAATTCAATCACATTGAAATATTAAGTATTTAGTACTGTGGACATATCCTCAATACGAACTCAGCCATTGTATACTTTGTGGACGTTTATACTTTCAAATATCGAAAAAAATATTGAAGAGTTGTGTAAAGATCTGTTATATAAAAATCAATATAATAGTTTTTGCAAATATCTGAACGGTACACAGTATTGCGATTTTAGAATTCTGCGAAATATTTCACTATGAAAACAAAGTTTTTCGTTATTAGAACAGACAATTATTTATTTGTAAATTAGTTAAAATATTAAAAAATATGATGTCAAATTCCATGTCTGTTACAGACTGTTCATAACTGGAATCATTTTCAATCTTCTACGATCTCCAAAGAAGTATATATAAGGGGTATTCACTCTCTCTTGCAAACTCATTGCAAGGTGCACGAAATGCACAGATTGTACGAGAATGCAAATAACAACAAAATACACGCACAAAATTTCGTGCAATTGCGTGCAATCTTCCAATGCTGAAACCTATGTATATTTGCTTGCAACAAACCAGAAATGGCGGAAATCAGCTGTTTTGTCATTTGTTGCTTCTCATTTTTAAATTTGAATTGACTGTTAGTAAAATTTCGAGATATGTTAATCTATGGCTATGCTATATACATGCGTTTCGTTCAATAATTTAAATCGATGTGACCATTAATAAAGTTTTCACAAATATAATATTATATACATATACATTTGTGAATTAATTTATCTATTTATCAATTTCAGCGAAACTTACGAAAATTTGTTCACATTTTGAACTATTGAATGAAGTGTTTGGACGCATGTCTAATTTTGTACGGAAACATTGCCATAGCCACCAACTAGTTCTGCGCTAGGCAACGAAGTTTTTTTTATTGAATCGTCTGCAAACAACACATCATCCAGCTCTGCACCGAAAGTCGTGCGTTCTGCTGTGCAAAGCCCCACTACCCCCTCGATAAAAAATATAACAAATAACAATAATAAATTAAGAATTAGTTATATTTTTATTATAACAATTATTTTTATATTATATTATTATTACATATATCTCCAACAACAAATAATGTAGCGACTTTACGAATAGCCGCATTTTCGCCTGATGAACCCAAACGATATAAAACAATAGCAATCCTTAATAGTTTATTAGTGAGACTATTAAGGAAAATACGTTCCAATTTACTCTAAGCATCTGACAAAAACGGCCTTCATCAAATTCTTGAAGAATGGTAGATCTCCATTGAATAGATTTTGGTACGGGTTGGTGATTTCTGTGATGGTTTACTAAAGTAAACAAAAGGTCTTCATTTAATTGCTCCATCACTTCCCAGTAATTTGCATCATCTAACAAATAGAAACTATATAGTAGTGAAAACTACATTAACAACATGTTAATACCTTTAATAAGAATATTAAAAGCACTATTTTCAATAAAAAAATCTATACATTTTTGTATTTCACTTGTTCGCGGCATTGTTATACTTTTATTTTTCTTTGCTCAATTTGATACGGCTGCAAAAACAGCTGATTCATTTTGATGATGCAATTCTGCAACAGAGGTGCTCTCGCAGTCTTGCAGTTTTTGTATAGCATTCTTGCATTTCGTGCTCCTTGCAATGAGTTTACAAGAGAGAGTGAATACCCCTATAGTGAAATTCCTCATAACGTGCAGTTCTTTTAACCGAACAGCTTTAATAGCCGAATAAATTTCGTGGATATAGTTTTTCTATTAATTTTTTAATATAAATATAATTCCTATAACCGGATGCTCTAATAACAGAACGTGGACACTACATTTTAAACCATTTTGATCAAAAATCTCTCATAAATGGGCAAAATTCAAAAAAATATATCCAACAAGTTCTTTAAAAATCTGCAGTTTCCTAAAATACAAACTCTATTTGTATTTATGTAAAAAATGGTTAATTTTAGTCACCAATAATTGAGTAAATATAATTTATTATTAACAAATTACTTCGACCAAAATTACACAGAAAAAGCGTTTTTTTCGCGCATTACCTGACAAAACTCTCGACCATAAATCCAAAAAATACATCGGCAGTAAATTTTTGAAGGAAAGACACACAATTTTTTGTGTAAACATGGTTGAAGATACAGAGCTACTTTAAGTTATAAGTAAAACAGTCCACCCTCGAGCAGCTCGATATCCTCGATCGATGTCACGGAACAGCCAGTGGATTGAAAATCTAATGAAAAAGCACGGATGACTTAAGAAGCAACGAACACGACTGCAGCAGTTCAATAAGATAATTAGAGTTCAGAATCGAAAAATCCTTTTGTTTTTGGATAATACATCATTTCATCCAAGGGAATTAAACTTAACTTAAATAAATATTGTTTTTTCGCTTCGAAATACAACGGCAGCAAACTAACCTTTGTTCAAGGGGCAATCAAAAATATTTAAATTTTTTATAGGACCTTACCTTTAAAATACTTGCTACGTAAAATTGACACTACAGGGTCAGACTCAGAGCTGTCGAAATCTATTAATGTGCTTGAAGCTGTTTATTTCCTCAAAGAATCTTGGATTAAAGTGGAAAAAATAACAATCCAAAATTGCTCCCATAAAGCAGTGTTTTCAAAAATTCATGAAAGTGTGATTGATTTTGATCCCGTAGATGACATTCCGTTCGCAATCTATGCTAAATTTCAGGAAAGACTCGATTTGGCAAATGTTTTCGAAGGGTTTCTCTAAATAGATAGACAGGCACTAAAGACAACAATAGCTGCGTTTCAGCAAACATGATCCGCTCAATTTTACATGCAAAACAAAAACAATGGGGTGAACCAGCAATTGATCTGGTTCACTTTCTGGTTCAATGTGGAATGTATGTAAAAGATAAAAGTGGAACGTATTTTAATGCAAATGAGGTTGGCAATGCGATGCAATGGTGTAGTAAAATTATAAACAAATCTACATTTATTTGCAAACTGCTTGCAAGTTTAAGCTATATTCATGCTTCCTTTTGAAATAAGCCTAATTGCTATGGTGAGGTGCATTTATTTTAACATGTGTGCTGTCAATCACGAACGGAAATTTTGCAATTAATATAAGCTAAACACTAGTTCTTTCAATTATTCTCCATACAGAAGCTTTTGGTATGCCAAAACAAATACCAAATTCGCGAAAAGTATTTATATTTGCCATATACCACAAAAATATGTAAATTTTCTTCATTGCTCTCGTTCAATTGTGACCACCACGGTTATTTTGTATTTGCTGATTGGATTTTATTAACAAATCTATTAAAATATGAAACATAATTAATATATAGCAATTGTATATTTTATGCACAAATACCAATCAAATAATCCTTAACGGAACAATTATTGATCGTTTCCATAAAATTTCCACTATATCCATATTGATGCACTTCATCCCTTGAGCTTAATACACTTGGACTAGTGCTTAAAAAGAAAATGGAGGAGTCAGTTTTGCTCGATAATTCTAATAAAATCTGCAATTTCCATTTATTTACTATAGAATTAAATTTAAGTTTTTAAGTAAATACTAAATAAAAACTTACATTTCGTACTTCAGACATTTCAACAGATTTTATTTATTTTCCAAGTTTTAGATTTTTTGTATTCAAAATTTTCTCACTTATTTTTTTATTATTCACATAAATCAAAAAATTTTGTACACAAACCCAACTGGCATTGATTTCATGCGTTGCCAATTATTTTCAAACGTGATCCGTATCGTTTCAGCAAAGATGATTCAGATCATTGAGCGGATCATGTTTGCTGAAACGCAGCTAATGTTAAAATTCAATTTGAAGAACAAAACAATATTATGGACCTAAGCTCAGAAGAAGAATCTAATGAAGAAATAAGTGAGCGCAAAACTTTAACTTCATTCAAAATATCATTTAGATGCAATTTAAACATAATTTTTACTGCTCCGTCCCATAAGAGCGAACATTATCCATAAACGGATAAAAACACTGCGCGGATATTCTTATATATTTTCTACTTGATAAACAATTAAACAAAATATTTTTTTGGAATGTTTTTTTTGCTTTTAATTATTATTTAGTACTAAAATTTAATGTGCTTTTTTAAATAAGTTAATATAATATTTGTTTTCGAAATTTGTAAAATTTCTATTTTTTAACCTGAATTCATTGCTCCTATCATTCTCGTTTGTATTGACAAATTTTAGCGAAGTGAAAACTTTTAAAAAAACTAAATTTGTTTTAATATTGAAAACGAAAACGAAACTTCTAGAAATTGATCACACATAATATGATCCCTTTTCTAAACGGTAGTTTCCATTTTACTTCAAAAGTTCTTAAACAAAAATTTTCTTAAAATGTTTTTTAATGGTTAATTTGTTAAGTAGACGTTATTTGAGTTGAAAATATTTTAAAATATTGAGTTAATAGCTATTTTTGATTGATTTAAACAGATAAAAATTTTATCACAAAGTGTTCAAATTAAATAAATATATATTTTACAGCATATTTGAATACTATATATTCCAGATCATTTTAAACATTGAATGAATATTATCAGTCAACACGTACAGAAATCAATAAATTATAACAACAATTTGCGAATGTTTTCATTTTCCGCGGCTTCATGATAAGGCCTTCCATCTAGTGTTGTTCCATCTTTTGAAGCACCCTGAAAGAATACAGAGACTGTAAATCATATATGCCATAGAATTTTTTTTTGAATAACATAAATTATTTTTTTGTAAAGATGTACTTTACAAGTATCGAACTATTAATAAAAACCGTTACTGAAATTTATGAGAGAGATTAAATAACCTGTAATAAGCGGCATAAATGTGAGAATTGATTCTTCGGTCCAAGTAATATAAAAAACGAAATTATGATATTACTGGCAAATACATTCCTTATTCCTTATTGTTCTCAAATTCAAAAATGACTCATATTTAAATCAGTTAAAAATATATTATTTATCTTTCTAAAATTACCTTAAATAACAGTAGATCTTATCTACACTTTCAGAAATAACTGCGTACATTAAGGTACATCCACACCAAAGCGAACATTCGCAGGTAATCGTTCCTGCAAGAGTTCGTTCGTTCGTAAGTGTTCGCTTTGGTCTGGATACACCTGTATCCTAACAAAATTAAAATCATGTGGGTTCTTAAGCACGAATCAAAGGAAACAAACTAGTAGATCTCTTATTTTTATGCAATATACGTGAAAAAAAGATATTTGAAATATTATAAATAATGAAAGATGAAAGTGTAATGGTACGATCAACAATCACTACAACTCCATCAATGCCAATGGATTAAAAGCAATATACCAATGTCAACTTTTTATTGAATTGCGTATGGTACATTCATAAGTAGCTTTTTCATAAGTATCTTTGGACTGACAATCAGCTATCTTACTGTCCGTTTTGAAATAGCCCAGTATCCATAGTTCATATACTAAACGATTGCTCTACTTTTGATTTTATTTGAAATATCTTTTCAAATATCTACCAGCGTATTAAATACAATAACTGTTAAAAACATACTTTTGATATATAAATATATTAATGCCCCTAATTTAATAATAAAATTTAATTTACAATAGTTATTTTTCTATTTTAGTTATGATTTCATATTCGTTGATTAATTATAATAAACAAATACATTAACTTATTATTTTTATAGTGCGCTAAATTATTTTTTTTTAAATTTTGGTAATTTTTTTAGAAAAGATCAATCAAGATATTTCAATATTTTTCTTTATTTAAATGTGATTGGCTTTATATTTGGCTGGAAACCACAAGTGGCTATGTTTGAGTCCTCCAGCACCTAAATATAAACAAACCATTTGTGTCGATACCGTGATACTGATAGGTTTGCCCGACACCCAAGAAATTGACCAAAAAAAAAAAAACAATAACAACACCAGAAATGATTCGTAAAGAGAAGAAGCGAATTGAGCGATCTGCAAACAAATGGCAAGGGAGCTGAACATACAGTGAAAAAGGATGCGACACATTTTGAAAAGTAAGCTCGGACTAAAATCGTTGAAGTTGAACAAAATGCATGATTTCATCGATGAACAAAAAAGGTTAGAATCGAAAGAGCTAAAGTGTTGGTTCGTTTTGCCGAAAGTGGTGGGTTGCGGAAATTGGTTCTTTTTTTTTTGATGAGTAATCATTCGTACTTGAGCAAAATGATCGAGTTGATTTGTTAGAGAGGTCAGCTGAAAATTTTAACATACGAATGGTCTCCAGAAAGCAAACACTACCGATGATAATGGTGCAAGCTTCCGTAACGGCCCAAAATATGTGGGCTAAAAATAAATGTCCAAATCTATCGGTAAATTATTGGGTCGCAGGCCTTGGACATTTCAACAATACTTAGAATCAACACAAAAGCACGCGTCAAACAAGAATGGATGAAAAACAATATTCCGTGCTTTATTCCATCAACACAGTGGCCACCGTGTTCATCTAATATAAACCCTTCGGATTTCTCGGTCTGGACTATTTTAAAAATTAGCACTAGAAAATATAAAAATGTCGATTATCTGAAGCCGAGAATGGGCCAAAATACCGTAAAGCCACTTGCGAGTAGAGTTGGATAGTTTCATTAGCCGTTTGAAAGCTATAATTCATGCTGGAGGTGGTAATATTGAACCAAAATAATTTAACTTAAAAATTTAGAGTTCTTTTCGCATATTTTCATTTATCTTTTGTTAAATACCTGTAGAAATCCATAGTTAAAAACGACATTAAAATATTTTTTTTGATTAAAGCTTTTAAGGGCATTACGATGTTTTAGTAACAGCTAATTAAGAATGTGTGAATACTTAAATAAATTAATACTTTGAAATATTTAAATCTTACTTTTTCTAAAAGCAAATTTACACATTTCTCATGACCCTCCCAAATAGCTGCCAACAGTGGAGTAATACCATGCTTATCTTTTTTCTGCAAGTAAAAGTAAATAATATGTAAAAATGTGATAAATATATATATGTAAATAATACAGGATGGTTTCTAACAAAATCGCATAAATACGGAGAAGGTATATCTGGTTTTATTATTTACCGAAAAGGAGAAAAATGTTACCAAAAAAACCTTGAATCGAGTTGTCTACAGATTTTTATTAGAACAAAGTACAATTTTAGTATAATGGAGTCAGTAGCTCGCTTTAAATTACGATAATAAGAAGACAGTGAAGAGAAAGAAAATTTCTTGGTTAGAAATGTTCACAAAACAAACATATTTTAATATATGAAAAAATAAATTATTTTTTTAAATTTTTTCAACCAAAATAGATCAAATTTTAATCATAATAATTTCCAAACTGATTTTAGTATAATAATTTACGTATTATACATTAAATTGAACATTATTGAACTGCACGAATTTATCTAATTTATAGTTTTTGAGATGTTAAGGATTTTGTGACTTAAGGTTTTCTTGGTGTATACATTGTTAAATCTTTGTAACTAAGTATATAATTAAAATAAATCTCCTTTACGATTTTCTTGGTTTCTCAGACCAAGTAATCACTTTTTGTATTTCTGTCATTTTGTTAGGGTACACCTTATATACTTAATTATCTTAAATTTATACAGTATACTCTCGATAATCAGAACACTTAATAATTCAAACATTACAGTCATCCGGTCACCGCGAGATTTGCACACAATCTTTATTGTAACCTCTATAATCGGCCAAAGCGAAAAAAAGTTACCTTACCTTATTAATAATTTTTTTTTGTCATATTTAATTTTATTGTAGAATTTATTTTGAAATATGTAACATACTTGTATCAGATATGTGCAGCGAATAGCTTACATTAAGGTGCCAACAACAGTATTCGCTGAGTTCCTTGCTTGCATCACTTGCCACAACGTATTCCATTGTACTGAATATTGCAACACATTACTGCTCTTCACTATACAACGCAATTTTAGTGTGGTGAACAATATAGTTATTTTTTGATTTCGCTATAAAAGCCCTTAAAATCTCTCTTTTATAATTAGTTATGCAAATGACCTGGGTAAAAACCATTATATCTACGTAGATATGTTATATTATATCTGAGCCCAATATGATAAAATAAAAAATGTTTGTTAGTGCAATTTTACTACTGTTCGAGAAAAACCTCTCTATTGAAAACAATAGTTTATAATAATAATTTGGTTCCTTTTCTCAAAACGGACGTTAAAAATCAATTCAATATATTGCTTATATAGCTATTATTAGTCATATAAGGGAGGCAAAATTTTTAAATAAAATAATCATACATAAACACATATAGTACGACCTCGAAGATTATAACTAATAGAATTCGAGGGTGTTACAATAATCGAGTCTAGAATTTTTAAATCAAATAATAAGACATTACATAAAGTTTATTAGAAAATAATATGAAAACATATTTTTATTTATAATAACATAATTGTTATCATAGTTTATGATAATAAGTTGTTATTTCAGCTTGCTTTTTATTGCAATTAAGATTCATTGTAACTATCTTATTTTTAGATCTTTAAGTATTAAAATTTTAGTGAGAGGTATGGAATTTTCTACAGTCCATTGTTTGCATGTGTTAAATGCACACAATAATAATATAAAATTATAATAATGTTATTCGATAACATTAGCTTTTATGTAATGCAAGCAGATGTTGTCGTCATCAGTCCACTGACCGTTATTTAATTTTAAGGTTTGAAAAACTATTTGAATAACATGTGATGGAAGTTTCTTCAATGCATTAGCTAAAAGACAAAGGATCACAATTTAGTTTGTTGCAACAGACTTTTCTTATAGAACTTTTCTTATAGTACATTATAGAATGTACTGTACCGAGAGTATATTCTTATAAAAAAGTATAGGAGAGCAAATAAATAAAAAAAAATATTAAGAATGCAAGATGGAAAAATAATTAGCAAAAGTTGCATTCTTCGCGGTAGTTAGTTTTCAAAGTTGCATTATCAAAGCTAACACCGGTAATATTTGCAATTTTCGAGGTCGTACTATATTTATGTACTATTTCCACATTCGGTCTGCATTGACATATAATATTTAACATAATAAATTCCACAATATAAAGATGTATTGCTAATATTATACTATGTTTCAATAGTATAGTTCATAGGTCAGTGATACTATTGTGGCATATAAGTGTAAAGTGCGAGCGGGCCATGCTATGCTTGAACTTAATTGTCCACAAACATAGATGTGAGCTTTATCCTGTTGGAAAATCTAGTAATCTGTGGCCCTGTGGTGCATAAATAACAATAAACTCATTTGTAATAAGTCAATGGAAATATATATCCTAATACTTTTGGAACGTCAGCATGGTATGCTGCCCAGACTATAATAGTGCCTTCATCAAAGTCACATATTGAAAAAAATCGGGATGCCTCTACAATTGACACCAATTCTTATTGAATCATCCATCGGTGTCGGTTGCAGATGAAAAACTTTATGAATTTTCCATTTAGAAATCCCTAACAACTTCGACAGCAGTCTTGATACTGTTGTGTACTTTTTAAATAACAAATCGTGTATTTCTACCTGATAACTTGCTTTTCGGACCTCCTATTTGATTTTTTTCATAGTTTAAGGAGTATTTCAAATAAAAGCATTAGATTGACGGGACTTTTTAGTAATTGCACGCTTGCTTATACTATCTTCATAATATGCAATGACTTTGTTTAATCTCACATTAAGTACAGTTTTGTGAGACATTTTGAAATAAAAGTTAAGTCAATTTACTAAGCAAAAATAATTTTAATATTTAGAACACCTTTTTATTGTTATCAATAGGCAAAAACGAAATGCACTGATAATATATTGCTTAGTCTAAATCAGGGTAAATTTCAAGTAAGGGTACTTTTATTTGTCATTCATTTTCAGATAATTATTTCTTATTGTACTGTACTGTTCTTTTCCTGACTCTCAAAATTAACAGAGCAAATTGAATAGCAAAAACAAGAATTTTTTGAATATTTTTATAGTGAATCTTCGCAGTTTACCCATTGACGGCTATAGAATATGTAAATCGTAGATTATTGCATTAGTATAGTAAAAATAAAAAACTCTCAGTAATTCGGATAAGTCTTTGAACATAATTGTCCAGATTATCGAGGAGACACTGTATATGGTTATCAAAATATTAATAAATTTTTTAAAAGTAAATCATACATCAACATCAGCTCCGAAATCAATCAGTAGTTTCAATACATCATATTGACCATAATCGGCGGCATAATGCACGGGATATCTACCGTCTATTTCATTATTAGCAACATTCTGAAAATATAAAAAAAACGCATAAAATAAAATCAAATATTTTAAAATAAATATTTTTTTTTCATTTGTTAAATTATATATAATTCTCTACAATTCTAAATCTAAAGATTTAAATTAATTAAATATCAAATTATATTTATACTGCATTAGTGTTGTTTGTTAAATTTTTATTTCTTTATTTAAGCGTCCATGTTATTTATTACTTAAAATAAAGTTTATTTTGTTATATATGTTTCATTCTGCATTTTTAGTAAGAATTTATTTTAGCACCGGCTAAAATTTTCATGGAAACGTAGATTCTTTACTCAGAAAAGCACAAATTAGATGGTAGAACAAACCCACTTATGTCAAGACTAAATATATCTCGCCATCTATATACCCGAATAAAACTAAGAAAATAATTAACTTGAGTAGGACCGAAATCGGTAATTTTATAACATTTGTAGTCTATCATTACCAAATAGGCCGATATGTACGGAGACTTAGAATTCTAACTGATGACCAAGCTCTTATCTATTGTCAAAAAATCAGTTTTTATGAAATGTCTAGCTTTTAAAACTAGTAAGTTTACAATTCCTTTTGGAGTAGATCCTTAAAAATATAAAAAATTGATATTGAAAGTCTTAAAAATACAAAATTATTAAATAAATAATTTATTAAGTTAGAAACTATAACAAGAACCTTTTGCTTATGGTTGAAAGATTCATTTTTATAAACTTGGGAATATGTAGTCGTTACCAGTAACCAAACCTGGAGAATATATAGCAGAAAATATACAATAGCATATTTTAATACGTATGTATCAATTTATGAATTATTTCAATTAACGTATCTTATGATTTCTGGTCTATAGAACTGTTTATTTGGTGTTCTTTAAATTCGATCTGAGTATCTGAAGATTCATGCTGGATTTATTCATGACGCATGGCTATGGAATAACTAAAAACTGGTTCGAACTTCTTTAGCACCCATCTTGTGTACAATTCTTCTTACTTAATTGATCATGCTACATTGAACACATCAGCAAGTTAGCACTGATATGGTTTATATTTGATAATAAATTAGGTTTTTCCAATAGCTTGCATATGTGCCATCATTTTGTGCTATTTAAACGTTGTTCACACCAATATATTCGTAATTATAAAATAGTTTTTTTATCATTAGTGTAAAGGACTTAAAACATTACCACAAAGCTAGATCCAAAATAAAATTTATATATCTTCTAGCAGTAATATTTTGAGCAATTTCTTAAAATATTAATTTCTGTAAATATATAGTACATTTTAAAACATAATTTCAATTAAAAATACGACACAGTCACTTTATTATGGATTTTGATGAATAATCAGAACAAGCGGCTTTAATAGTTAAATGCAAAGTAATAATAATTGTATTACTAATGCAATTATTAAATACTGAATTGAAGATAATTATTGCCTTCATCATGAATGAAATAATGGAAAATGGAACCTCCGTTCATAAAGATATGTCTAGTAATTACATATCAATTTTAAATGCAATTGATATTTTTATTATGAAATATAACAAAGTGAATATTACAAACAATAAAAACCAGGTTTCATATCATACCGACTCTTCCAAAATAGTTTGAACCTGCTCCAGGTCCCCATTTTTGATACTCCAAACCAAAGCCATTATATCAGAAGTTACAAAAAAAAACTAAAAAAGAAATAATTTATCCCGTTAGCATACTATTAAACCTTATCCGCAACTGACTTAACTGCACTTTATTATGACTATTGTTGTTGACATACAGTAAATTCCATAAACACTGTATTCACTGCCAAACAATTCAATTCTTTTGCGTTTAAAGCATAGTTGACATATCTGCTTGATATCTTTCTTTGAAAACAACAATTAATAAAACAAGAAGTTATAATAATTATACAGCGATTCGCAATTCAACCCGCAATTATATGAATGATATTTTTTACATACTTTGTTCGGAATCTGTACAAGTGTAACCTCTTAAATTATCTGATCAAATATATAATTAATTATTTATTAACATTAAGTTGATAAACTCATAACTCATAAATTAGCACTATGAATTAACACTAAAATTCATTTTAAAGTTAACTAAGAATAACGAACTGGACTACTAAGTCCAGTCAAATGCCAAGAAAAACGCAAAAGTAAAAACGTGTGAGTTTGTTACAACACAACGCAATATACATATGATTTATTATTGTTGAAATTCTTAAACTAAAATAAAAGTGTGTACATTGCAATAATAGATCTGTTCTTTTGACATGGTGCTTAAGAATAACTTCGCATCATTGCCTAAACCAGTAAACATATGAAAAGTAAGAAAATTTCAAATTTGCGGTTGAATTTTATAAAAAAAAATATATATATAAAATAAATGACACAAAAAAGTTATTGATTAGGTTTATGTAATTTTTACACTTCTAACATCACTATTTTATTTTTCTTGCAATTGTCTTATAACTTTTTGCTTTTATTTTATAGAATGTATTTTGAATTTCTTCATTGCATTTTTTAATAAACATAATGCAAAATTATAAATCGCTTAATAAATAAGTAACGAATGACTCCTTCACAAAATGACCAACAGGTTGTTGGTCATTTTTACAAATTTTATTAAAAAAATTACTTTTTTAATATTAAATTTACTCATTAGCACTCACAACAATTGTAAATAATAAACAGCTTATTGGAGGTTTTCATTTAATTCCAAAAATCATTAACAATAGATGAGTGTTAAGATTTGGCACCATTGCAGGGCAAGTGGCTTATTCGTTAAGCACTTTCAGGAAAGTGGGCTTATATGGCGTTTACATAGGCCGAAAATGGCTCATATTGAATGAGCCATTTGAAAGTGTTTACATTCGTTGTAATTCATTTGTTCTCATTTCAAACAGCTGATTTTTCAAATTGCCTGTTGATTTGGTTTTTGGTCTGTGCCAAAAAAATGTTGGGAATATAGCCAATGTCATACGATTAGCAATTCTTTTAGCATCGTTTCCGGAAACCAATCTTACCAGACAGAACAAGGAAGAGTAAAAGACCTCTTAATGGAATAAATGTACAAGGACTGGAGGGCTGTACTCCAGTTCGAAGGCATCCACTTTCGACCAGGTTTTAAGTGGTAGACTGTGCAAGGAAACTGCCGATTGGGTTTGTGGGGTGATACCACTGCTATCAACCTAGGAAGGTACTCAGTTGACTACGAGCATCTAAGAAAGCATATCTGGTGTTCACCTTATGACCAGGGCAGCAGGAGTCGAAGACGATAATTTGCTAAAACTGATGATAACACAGAATTAATGGTTCCACGCACATCTGTGGTGGTTATTCAGTAGCTAAAAAGTGAAGAACGGGAAGCTGTTAATGATTGGGATTGACAACCGATCTTTGGAGCCCATAAGAGCCGGAAACTGTAGAATCGCTTACAATTTCAGCTTCATGCTAATTCATCTCCACAAGAACGGATAAGGACAACATCCGTTCTGAAACATCCGTGGTGATTAAAAGCATAAAAACGAAGGCCCCGCAAGGAGCGAACAAGTTGATGAAATCAGCATCCTATCTCATGAAGGTAAAGACATTGATGATCTCGACATGACTCTGCTAGGCTTGGCGGGTGCGCTCGGGAAGAAAACTAAGGCCTAAATCACATCAATGACTAGTATAAAAATGACTCAAATATCATGCAATATCATCCATCATGCAAGTCGCCACGCCGGTTATAAGTGTTATTAGAAAACAATACTGCGAAACAACCTGAGTGCAATACGGGTTTAAGAACCTTGGCTTTTCAACAATCGGATTTGCGGTAATATAGGATGTCAAATGTGACAACCAGAGAACTTGTATGCAATTGATGCTAAATTGCTTATGCCTTTCAGAGTTTCTCTCCAGGGATCTTGTAGCAGTTTAGATTTCAATCTATGCCAATCAATTGGCATAGTAACTAGGTATCTATCGGGCGATGTCTGTCAGGCACCACCTGAGGGCATATGTGATGAGAAAAAGGCTACCGCTTATATTCTGCCGCGACGTCAACGCACACAACGAGCTATGGAGGAGCACCAACACCAACAAATGGGGTGAGAATGTTTTAGAATTTATAGTTAGAAATAAATCAAACATTTTGAACACAGGGAACACACCAACCTTTGTAATTAGCGTGCGTTAAGAGGTTCTAGACATGGTTCCAAGCATCTAGAAAAAACTCTAGGTAGCGAAGTAGAAGAAATGAATGTTTTCTAATGAACCCTCAATGTCAGGCCACAGAATTAAAAGGTACCATACTAAGTTAGAGGTTAACCTAAACCAGTTGAATATGGGGGCAAATATTCAGTATGTAACACAACTGAAACCTGCAATTAAAAATCACAGCAATGCTGAACTCATGATCCTTCCGACCTATTTGCCTCACATACTTCATGCTAAATACATTAGAAAAATGTGTAGATAACTTCATCAGGAGCATCCCATTGTATCCATACCAGCATACCTACAGGGCGGCAAGATCCACTGAAATCGCGTTGTTTAAATTAACAAACATTATCCCATATTAAGCTTGTCAGAAATAGTAGGTACAGGAAAAAAGGAAATAACAATATTCGCCTTTCTAGATATGGAGGGCGTCTTTGATAACACTTCTTATAAAGCTATAAAGAGATCACTGATAAACAGAGAAATAAATTCCGCTCTGGCACGATGGATGAGAAACATGCTCCGCACTAGGAAGGTAAAAATACGCACTGGTACGGGCGTAATAAGAATATATACCACACAAGGATGTCTAAAGGGTGGGGTGCTCTCGCCACTCACATAGAACAGACTAGTGAATGAACTACTTTACGAGCTAGGAAACAACGAACTAGTAGTGTAAGGCCATGCAGATGACATAGTCATAACAAGTAGAGAAAGATTTGAATATATTCTATGCGACAAAATCCAATATGGACTAGAATTAACAAAAAACTGGTAAAACAAGTTAGGACTGAGTATAGTTAAACTGAGTTGAATCAAAACTGCAGTTGTGACTTTTACAATAAAATACAAACTCAAACATCTGAAACCTATCAGGCTCGGTAAACTTGATGTGAAAACAAGAAAAACGGTTAAGTTCTTAGCCACACATCTTGATCAAAAACCCAACTGGAAAATATTAAGATCTAAAAGCATCTTTCACAGTAGCACGTAGTAAGTGAGATTCGTTCGCTATTATCTGCTAACATTATCGGGCTGGAAGGATTAAATAGTCAAAAATTGACTACTGCTTTGGCAAGTCGGAAAATAGTTTGTTAAGTTGAAGCTATTTTTGGTGTGAGAAATTATAATTGGCAGTCTGAATCTATGTTTCGTCCATGAATTGAAAGTACATTTAGCATATTTACAAAGTGTCTCACGTAAATCACGAAGTGATCAATTTGATTTCGTGTTGATTCATCAGGAAAGATCATTGCTTACAAAATATTACGACCTAGAAGTTTGATGTTACTTACTACAATGTTGCAATGGACTTAAGTAGCCCAAATATTCCTAAAGTTAGCTTAAAAATTCTTTCATTTCCAACCTTAACCTTAATTTCCTGAGAACAATATTTGCAACGCGGGGAGACAATGGTCAAAGATTTTCTTTAGTGTTATGCAGGGTCATAAAGAGTATTTCATTTTTAAGAATAGTAGTAAAAATTTAATTCACAAGTATGAACTGCCACAAAACCAAATCTTATTTCAAGATTTGTTCTTCTGACAAACCCTATACACAACCTAAACCTAGGGTCCTAAGGGTAGTACTATCACGTGAAGGCTGTGCGATAATTTGTATTGAGAAAGTAAAGAAGTATTCAAAATTATATTTGTAAATATTTAAAATTATGTTTATTTTTTTTGTTGATTATATTAATGTTATCATCTCATTAGTAACATAAGAAAGTCTTGTAAGTATAGGTAGTTATTTCTTTTTCTTTAAATACAATACAATTATTTATACAATAATCGCTTCATAAAATTTTATTTTTCGAAAATTAAATGAGGTTAAAAATCTAACACTACGCATTTATTTTCTACAAAACATTTAATGTAGTTTATTACATCACTATATTAGAAAAAAAGTGGTCAAAGAGTTAAACTGAAATTCAAACACTAAGTGGAAGGGTGGGTGGACGATGGCTGGTTCAACTCTTACTTGAGAATCGTATCGCTAAATAATAATATCGTATTGTATAAGAACAATTTTTTTCAAGAATTCAGAGTTTACTGATTAATTTGCATACACGAGTATATTACAACGATTTACCAATGTATATTATGCCCGGTTTACCAATGTCCTTAATATGGTTGGTCATTCGGAGTATTTGATTTCAATCTGTAATAACAGTTATGTGTGATGTTTCAAATTAAAAAATCAGATCTTTAATTAAAAATATAACTATTATAGTAAAAAATTTAGCATATAATTAATTAGATGTTACAATTAGATATTATATTCGTTCAATATCAATCAATATATCAAAGCACATGTGAACTCGAATGTTGGTTACAACCTATTCCTCTTGGTTTCGAAGCTGTCATTACATTTATAAATAGTATAGAAATATATTGTTTTATTTTTATTATATTTTTTATAATGATGTTTTTTAAGATCGAATATATTTATGATATTTTTTAATGTTTTGTAGTTGGTTCCATTCAAAAATTTAATAACTATTCACACTGGACAAGCAATTGTAATTTTGATGAAGTTTTACTAATTTGGTTCGATTCATTTCAAAATTAAGGTCATTACATTTGATTATATACAAAAATACGATAACTAAATTATGATTAAGTTAAAATCTGTAGCTGAAATTAAACTCATAATAGTACAACTGTGTAGCGAAATTGTGAATAAATCTTATAAACTAAGGCAAAACAGAACAAAATATTTTATCAACTTTTAGAGCGCAACTACCAAATCAAAAGTGAGAAAGAAAATTATGAAAAATTTAGATTTGCTATTTAAATACGTTTTAGTCGAAACGGACCAATTAAACAAAACTGCCATCAAAATTTTAATTACTTGAAATATTTTTTCATATAACAGTAGTCTTTTATCAAAGACCCCTTTCTTGTGTTGTTATTCGCTAATGCATTTGCCAGCTACGAGACGTTTGGCAGCACCGACACCAATAAGCGAGGTGAACGTCTTTTTAATTTCATTTTTGCAAGTAATGTGATAATTGCTAAACCGATTTTCATTACACCAAATGAAAAGTTGTTACTCAATGACAACTCTTAAGATATGTTAACTTGTTGAACCTATTACAGGATTGCTCATTTTCTGACTACAGATATTTTATTAAATCTTGATTAATCTTGGCGTTAAGTTTTGATATGAATAGATCGTTCAAACGAATCAACAGAAAACACCCCGAATAATATTCCGGTTAATCCTTGAGTTAATATTGCAGACGACTCCTCATTTTTTTCCTATCTGATCTGTTATCAGGCAGTCAGGCGGTAGAACTTCTTACAGCAGCACTAACGACTATTACTAATATAGCTTTCTCAATTTTGAGACAGACTTGAACCTCCATACTGGGACTCAACAATGGCAGATCTTTTCAAGCAGAGACCCATATAAGGAGATGTTATTGGAACTGAAATATGTTACAATGCGAGAAAAAAGGGCATTTTGGGAAAATTTTTGTGGTAGCACAAAAACTGCTTCTGTGACTACAACGCAAAATTATCAACTTATCTAATATTTCTTTAAACAAATTAGACGTATCAGTGTTTAGCTCACATGGATACCTGATACAGATGTCCCTGTGTGAAGTGTGTCCAAGCTTGCCAAAACAGGCATTCAGTTCTCTAGCATTCATTTCACAGGTAGTGGTATCCCTTTAACAACGGGCAAATTGACAATCAAACAAAAATGTCTGAGCATAGCTATACAAAATTGATACAGATGTATTCTTCGTCAGATTTCAAGATCGACCTGATTCAAGCTGGACAAAAAACGTACCAATCAGCCTTTTCCATTAAGGCATGATGTGCTCAGCACTACGCTATCGGGGCTGATATCTCACTATGTACTGGAAAGACGTGCTATGAGACTTCCCCATAATAATTTTTATCGAGGTTGTGTCGAGATTCGTCATTCTGCAAAATTAAGGACTTTGGGTAAAAGGCCGCTTCAACGTAACCTGACATGATCTCTCTGAACTAACATCACAGAAACGCTTAAAGATTTTCTGAAGCACAAGGTCTTCGAGCTCTTATGAATGCAAACTCTATTCACTCGTTGCTGAATCTAACTCTCTTTAAGGATCTAATTGGGTGATGCAAACTTGATATAATTGTAATCACGGAAAACTGATTTTGTAACTCCTTTAATTTTTTGGGATATAATATAATTGCTGGAACAATTTTTACAATTGAGGGAGTGTATTGAAACTGTGTTACAAGTTTATTGAAAACTTCATAAACGTTGATCTTAACATTATCATTCCAAACGAGCCAATTTATGTTAACTCCGTAATCGAATTCTAAACACTTGAACTGTTTGGGTAAAATTTGCCGACTCACATAAGATATGCTGAGGTTTATACATGATATTCGGTGTCCGAATTTTATGTGTAAACGAATAGTAATTTCAGTTTTATTTTATAATGATGCGTGCCTAACGAGCAAGTTTACAATTCCAATTACGATTACTTGTGCTATCTGAACCGGCCATAAAACGTTTTTAAAAAATAATTTTAGTGTTTAGTACATTTGGCATTAAAACTAAACCCTAAAATGTTATAAAAAGAAATTTCCTGTGTTCCTAATACGGCATTTACACTGGCCGAAAAAGGCTTATTTTGGTCAAAAATCGAAAATGAGAATGGCTCATTCTTGCATATAAAACGACATTCGAATACGTTTCAAATATGTTCCAAATACAAAGGAATACATTGAACATACCCTAAATAAAAGCTCTTCATGGCATTTTGACAGATTGAGAAAGCTGTTTTTGACATATTTACAAAACAAGGTAAACAAATGTTTGGTGGTTGCATTTCTTTGAAAACATTGCACCTCTTTTTGAAACTTCTACTTCCTAAAAGGTAATTAATGGAAGTTAAAAATATGTTCATATTGTGAGGATTGAAGGCATATTTAACTTTCATGCATGATTTTTTTGGCACAGGGCAAAAATCAAATCAACACGTAAGTTGAAAAATCAGCTGTTTGAAATGAGGACAAACGAATTAAAACGAATGTAAACACTTTCAAATAGCTCATTAAAAATGAACCATTTTCGGCCAATATAAACGCCATATAACAGAGAACTGGAATATTCGTTGAAATTTCCATTAAATGTTTGCTATAGATCGCTTATTACTTTGATAACATTTTTTTCTACAGTCACTAAAATGTTTGACAACTTCAAAACTAGGTGCTTAGATAGAGAAAGTGATGTTTTTTTAAATACATATTAGCTACTTTAAGCGAGCAAGTTGTTATTTTTTGCCGCACTTAGGAGTTACCGAATACGCCTAATATTATCTTTGAGGTAAGCGTGACTGTCCATATAACATTTTTTCAAAAACAATTGTCAGTAAGCAATATTTTTGTTTCATATATTTATGAAAATTAATAATATGTATAGTTCAATAAAATACTTATAGTATATGAAAATATGTATTCTTAAAAATATTTTAATAAGTAATTAAGTGAATATTGAACTTATAGAATTAGGCCGTGTGCGAGTTAGAGTAAATTGAGGGAAATAGTAAATTATGTCGGCACGGCAGCGAATGTTAGTATATACCAGAATTTCAAGTAGGGTAAATTAGACAAAAATTAGGTAAATTATATTAAATAAATAAATAAATTTGAAAACTTTTAACGCAAAATATAAATAAATGCAATAAATAAATATTTACATAAATGCAGTGCAAAAATTCTCTAAGAAATTTCAATTCACTTTACTTTAATTTACTTAAAATACGTTTCATTCCGCACACTATCACTTCTTCGCATAGTAATCTCTGCAATTTCACTGCTTATCTATATTTGTAATATTTGTCAGAAACTTGATCGAAAAGTTGCACTTGACAGTGAGGAACAACAACGCACACAAAAATGGTAAGCTGCTATGAATAATACTTGTAGTATTTAATATTATGACTGTGCTATTTCAGGCGAAAAATACATCGGGTTTGCTTACGAAAATATTGGAGTATGATGTTAAATGTACAAAAAATTTCGTTGCATTTTTGTTACGCTTTCCATCATTTAAAACAATGAAAGTTTATTCGAAATATTTGGAATATTCTTGTAATGGTATTCTTTGGCTAGCCATGACGATAGCTTCCATATGGCTCCTTAATAGTAAATCATATTTTCAAATGCAGCTTAATTTATTAGTTGGACTGATAATTGATATAATATTGATAGCAGTATGTAAAGCTTTTGTCCGAAGACGACGACCATCGCCTTGTGATGATATGCTTACTCTTGGTCCTGATAAATTTAGTTTTCCATCTGGTCACGCCTCTCGAGCAATTTTTCTTCTTATGTTTTTTATATTTTTGAGTCCAATGAGCATGATAATGTGGTCTCCGATGATAGCTTGGACAGCAAGTGTATGTTTATCACGTTTGCTTTTAAAGCGTCATTTCATCGTGGATGTACTTGCCGGTATGTTCATTGGTGTTGTGGAAGCGTGCTTTCTTTCTCTTATTTGGATTAATGAAACTTCAGCAACAAATATAATTATGAATTTATCAAATGACAATGTGCCCGGCGGAGCCGAATAGTAACTCTTTAAGTTTGAAGTAGTAAAATTTTTGTTCAAAGTTTACATTATAAAGTTAGAAAAAACTGAATTTAATTCGGGTAAAAAGCGTTTAAAAATCATAGAATGTTACCAAATAATAAATATTTGTTACAGAGCTAAGTCAGAGTTCTACAATTTTTTGTCATTGACTGTGAAAGTAATGTTGTTAGGAACTATAGTTAACTAAAAAAAGAAACAATTCAAAATTTGTTAATAATAAATGGTCTTATAAGTAACAGTAAGAAATAAAGAAAATACCATTTTAAATTAAATTAATGAGTACTGCTAGTATGAGCATATCTGTGTTCGGTTATGATCGGTGTGTACAATCAAGTTCTAACATTAGGTTAAGGAAAACTTCGTATTTTCTTATTGTTACATATAATCGAAACCTCTTATAAAAATGGTGGTGTCAAAAAAAGCTTGTAAGAACCATTACGAACTATAATCGTACGGTTTTCGAACAGAAAAAATTTCTCTAAGAAATGTTACATTTAATTTGATTCTATCATACCGCTATCCAACGAAGATCGTTTTTTTTTTTAATTAAAGGATAAGTTCAAATGAAAATCGAAAAGGATTTATCGACAGTGGAACGGTCTGTCAATATGTTTTATAAAACCGATATTTTTGCTAAAAACTAATATTTCAATCACATCAAATTATGTTAAAGCTTATCTCATAAACAGCTATCTATATAAAGTAACACCAAGGGGTTCAATGAAATCATGCCCCATAATTGCTTTTCCACGCAATCATCAAGTATGAAGAAATATGAAATGTTTTTCAAACATTTTCTGTCATACATTGAAGGCGAATTAAAAATAAAATTTCCATATTTAAATATTGTAAGAAAAAATCTAGTATCGGAGATAGACTATTTGCGAAGTCATGCCAAGGGTTTAGTTTACACAGTTCAAAAAGTTCAATCGCGTCAATAATGTGAAGATTGAAAGATACCTGAGTCTATGAAGAATTCAACTAAGATTAATTATTAGTTTCCCAACTGAACATGTTTCATCTTTTAAATATGGGATTAAATATGGTCAACACCTGCAGATCCCAAATATTTGCACACCCTAACTGATTGTGGCCTGCCGACAGCCAGAAAATGAATTCAGTATCTTTATATCTTTCATTGAATTAGAAGAGGTCTGTAACATTAAATAAAAGGATACTGTTAGGGTTATCTATATGAGTAAATTGTCCCGATCGGCTTAGGATATTCGTTGTAGGCATATCATAATAGTTCTCATAGACCGCAGTGTTTCATTTTACCTTCTAATAATAAGTACAAAAAACAATATTTAATAAAATAAAAATTATTTTTTAAAACTTATAATACAAAATCTTTTATTAAATATTAGGACAATAATTCAAGTTATTTTTATATATTATTTATATTAAATTATTGAAAAATTTCGTTTTCTTTACTTGATCCAATTTTCGATCATATTTTAAAATGTTCATACATGAAATTTTTTGATTTCGCAGTTTATTAGTCATGGTAATCTATAAAAAAATGTATAAAAATAAAAACTGTATTAGTCAGGGCCATGACTAATTTCCTTTTATTCAAACATGGTTCGGAATATGTGTCGCGCTGATATCTAAAATAAGAAATCAGGAGTGGTGCTGCACTAAACATATTTTTACGTCTTTATCAACTTCGATAACGGCAGTAAACCAAAATGTAGTTAATAAAAATCATCATAACTATAAAGCTATAATTGGTAAACATATGCTATGTTTATTCGGGATAATAATGAATTGTTACTGCATATATGAGATACTGTCGAAATAGTAATTTCGCAGATAGTTAGTTAATTGTGGTGGAGGGAGGAACACGTCCTCCTCGATTAGCTATAAAAAAAAAAAGCCGTTTTAAATACACAAAACCTCGTAATAGTGGGTAGTAAAGAGAAGGTCAAGCTAGAACCAGTCGAAGGCATTTATAAAGGCAAGAATCTGTTCAATGCTAATGCTAGAGATATCGCCGAGTGTGTTGAAGAAGGGGTCTTATGGTCCAGTACCTTGTAAAACCAGATATTAACCTAGATACCTTTGATTTGCTTCTGTGTATTAAGTCAGATACTCGCAGATACGCTCACTCCATTTAAATTGGATGCGATCAATTTATACTATGGATAAAAATAGTTCTATTCAAAAGGTAAAATATTAGTTATATTATGCTACTTAATTCTCACCACTTCGGATAATACCATTAAAATTAAATGAGCGAATTTAAGTAAGAACACTTTAATGCAATATTAATTAAACAAATTAATTATACAAATTAAACAAACAAAACATTACAATTATCGCTTGTTTTATTATTGAATTTCTATTAAAAGTAGTAACATAATAAATAAGTGAATACATTATACTTTAAAAAATAGAAAATACAGTGAAATTATTTGTATCACATTATATTTTTAATTTATGATTTTAAGCGAGTTTGAATTAAAACGGTAAAGACGTAAATTCTAATATTGAAATTTTCTAAACGTAAATATTACGTCACATATTTTATTTTACAAACAAATGTTTCTGTTAGCGTTTGCTCGCTCAACTTTATATTTATTTACATTTTAAGGTGCATTTGCTTAACTATGCTATTTTACATATTTATAACTATAATAAACTTATTACTAAATATGTAAATGGTGTAAATATACCAGATACAACAGTAAAATAAAACAAGAATCTACATCTTGATTTCTATATGTATATCAAGCTAATCATAAAAACACATGCTAAATTCTATGCCTAATTAGGATAGTCAATTTGTAAGAACATTTACATATACTTTAAAATAAATCATAAAAAATTAATATATATGTTTTTAATACGCCGTAGTTTCCCGGTTACTCTTAAATGCAACAAAAAAAAAAAATTATTCGATTAATGGATAATATACATATTGTAATTATTTTATAAATATATATTTAAAAAAAACATACTTGTTTATTTAATATCAATAAAAATATTATTTTAAATAAATAATAAGTAATTTGGTTACTTAACAAGTAATTTAGTTACTTGTTTGTTTACCGAACAATGATCAGTAAACAAAAAAGAAATTTTGATACTTAAGCGATTAACTATGTTTGTTCATTAACAAATAGAAATCATTAAAAACAGACTAATGTTTTAGAACTAGTCATTAGGTGTATATGGAAATAACTTTCACATATTTTTCTCATATTAGCATGTTAAGTTACAATTATTTTAAGTTACAATTTTTGGTTTATAATAATAATAGTTTTTGTTTGTTGTTCCTTCAGGAAGCCTTAATGATTTTGGCATATGGGAAGAACTAAACGCTTAAAAAGCACTGTTGCAGTAGATTCATGTTAATCAGGTCTGTAGCCACAAATTAACTTCGGGATGAACTTTCAGATAATTTTAATTAAAGAATTTAATTAAACAGTCATGATACAATAATAATGAATAAAAATATATATAAATATAGTTAATTAATTTGGAGTAGGCTTAGCTCTGGAAACTCACTCCCACACCGCTACGGAACTAAACATATACAAAACAATATCTCCATATAGTTAATAACTAAAAGAAGCATAAATTACCATCAGTTTATGGATTAAGAACATTTACTACAACATTTTAACTCGTATTTGCAAACTATTTTTAAGTCTTGAAGATATTTTTAGTAGTTTTATATATGTAATTTAAATATTATACTAAGAATCCACCATTTTATTTACTATTTTGTTGATCTAATCATTCTTTATCTTTGCAAATCCTCGATGTCATTTCGTGTAAGGGTTCAAGTTCTTTACCCGATATTAAGTCGAATTCTTGAACAAAGTAATAGAAATGTTTATAACAAGCGTTCACATGTGCTTCCTAAAAACGAATATGTATCAACATTTTTTACATATATATAAAATTAGCACACTTAACAACTGTTTTATAAGAATAAACATCAAAAAAAAAAAAAATAAATATTAATAGTTATAACAAATTATTTGGTTGTTTTTTAGGTACCATATATAAAAATTAAAGTATTTAGACAGTTGTTAGATATGCAATTATTATGAGAATTCAAACTTACAGCTCCAATGCTGACAATTCGATCAAAATGGTGTATATATACATGGACAAATACTCTAAATAATCGAGTTAATATTTTTCGGCAAAGAGATATAAACGTTCGTGGAAAAGGTACATCTAAAATATTATATTGTAGTTTTGAGTAAATCTTAATTAAAATATAGTCTGGTATATTACCTGTTGTTATAGGAAAAACAGATTCATTATTGATTTGTATTTCTATCCAATCCATTAAAAGCTCAATGTATTTTGGTGCAGGCAAAGGTGTGGGTTTTTTATAACTAAAAATAATATATAATTATTTTTAACATAAGAATATAAACAATACTACCTTTCACCATCCGCCCAAAGATATTCATATCTTGAACCTCCTGACATAGTTGGACAGGTTGTTTCATTGCAGTACTCTGATACAGTGCCGTATATCAAATTAATTCGATTGAAAAAGTCAACAACTAAAACATTATTTATATTTATTAAAAATAATTTATATTTATTTCTAATATTATTGATTCATATAATACTTTTTAAAGATATATTAAAGATATTAAGATATATTTTTTTTTTGTATATAATTCTAAGTAATAGTTTACTTTTAAATAATAAACAGCAGTAACGAACGTAACAGTTATCATAAAAAAAATAAAAATCACCTTATAACGCTTTATCAGTCACATTTTAAAATAAAAGTCAAAAAATAATAATTAAATTTGCTTTATATTATATTCATCAAAAATAATTATTATCATGTGCAGAAATAACTCTTAAAATTCTGTTTTTTATTTTAAAACGCACCAATAACTGTTATTTGTGAATTTTTAAATATAAAAATCATGAATAACTCTTATTTTTAAAAATAAAATATAATTCATACTGGCCTGACGAATATTTTTAAATACGAAAATATAAAATTAATTTTTTGTACAAGGTAGTTGTTTTTGTAATTTTACCTATATAAAATGTATTTATAGATTTGAGGCACGTAAAGAGTTACTTTTGGTGCGTTTTAAAATAAAAAGCAGAATGTAAGAGTTATTTTTGATGAATAAAAGCAAATTTAATTATTATTTTTTGAGTTATATTTTATAACTCTCATATATATAAAGTACGCATAATATAAAGGATGAAAGTTGTTAGAATAAAATAACTGTTATTTTCGGAAACTGGAAAATAGAAATCATTTTCAATAAAAATTAAATAAGTTAAGCGAAATTTAATAAAAATTTGGTGGATGAACGCAAGTATATCATATTTTGAATTGAAAGTCATTCTTTCAGAAAAATACATCAACGTGTTTATTTTACCAGAATAACAAGAATGTAATAATAACAATATGGTGTTATAATAATTAATATGCACATAACTTAGTATTCTCAAACAGTGATAACGGCTGTTCGCTGGTAACCAGCACATCGCGTAATGAGGAGATTACAATATATATTTAAGTGTGCGGCAAGTGCTTTGGTTAATGCCACTAATTAAAATAAAAAAGTGACAAAAAACCTGGAACTAGAGCATTGAAAGTTTTTGCAGCCTTGACTACTTGTGGATAATCACGATCGCTTCTAATCGCTTCTAATTTAACACGGACGAGTTCTAAGCCTGGTACTTGCAGTCCAAACAAATTATATACGGACTATAAACTAATTAAAAATTCGATTATTTCCTAAGACCACTGATGTTGAGTACTTGGCAATACTCGAAACAGTGTTGTACAGTCAGCCAAATTTCAATAAAATTAAATAAATTTTTTTGTTTGTGCTTTCTTTTAACTTATAAAAATCTATGCAACAATCTAGTGACATTCGTGGTAATTTGTTCATGTGAAATTATTAAACACCTGATATAAACTTATATCTGTAGAATAACTTTAACAATATATCAAATTACTAACAACTCTTCACTCTTGTTAACTATTCACTTGGAAATCGTTTTTATACAAGATTACGTAAAATTTAAATCACAACTGTTTTTCATTTTCCAATCCTAAAAATAGTCCAAAAAATTGTAAAAATAATACATTGTGTATTTTTTTTCCTGAAACTGTTTTTAGTATTTTTTGTTACATTTAAAATTAAAAGCAAGTAGAAAAAAAGGACCATGACCATTTTTAAATGTGATTACCATCAAGTGCGTTACACAAATAATAGCAGGAATAACAAATACGGACAGGACATCACTTATTTGTACTATCGAAACCAACTCGAAAGTAGTGCTTGAATAAGTTTTTGAGTAGAAAACGCCTACAAAAATCTACTAATAATATTCGATAAAAATAAGTCTAGGTACCACGGTTCGTATTTGTTCACTCATGAGCAGCTCAGGCTCATGAGCAAGAGACAAGTCACGTAAAAACGTGAGCCCAAAATTTATTCATATTGAAGAGCTGCTCATCAGCGTGAGCCATCAATTTGCTCATATTGAATAGCTGCTCATGAGATCTCACGAGTCTTGTAATAGTTTTTTTTTTACATTTAAGGCTTAAAAAATTTGTTACACTGGTTTTTCGCATTCTAAGCAAATTATTTTATTACATTCATGTATAACTTTAAAATATTTATTTTTTTATTTTTAAATTTTCGAAAAACAATATAATATAATTTAAAACTCTGGAATTAATAAAAAACGATTAAGTTAACGCACAAATATTAAATAAATAGTGGCACGCGCCAAATTGTGCAACGAAAACAACAACAACAATGCCATATATTTTTCATTTTCTAGCGTGGAGCACCTTCTTGTAAGCAGCGCATGAGGTCTCATGAGCCTTAGTTCGTACTCTTGCTTACGAACGTGAACCAATTTATAACTTTATGGTGACTCTTGCTCATGAGCGTGAGCTCTGCAATTGGGCTCGCTCGTAAACGTGACCAATCGTATGAAAAGAGTTTCTTGCCTACTCATAAGCTGTGAGCATAATGAGCAGAAAATATCCGCTCATGGGTACGCAAATACGAACTCTGGAAAGTACTTTAAATTGAATTTAACTTATTATATTATGGCAATATTTTATTAATATTATTGCTGATGTTTAATGTAATGGTTAAGCGCATAATATCATACGACCATTTATTTTATTTTTTCTTATTTCTATTTGGAAATTAAATTTTCTATTATGATTTTGGAATAAAATTTCATTTAAGTTTTAATTAAAAATGGTATAAAACTCATTTATAAAAACTTCAAAATAATGCAAATGAATTATAAGTATAAAATCACATCTCACAGTTGCCTTTAAATATGTATTGGCATAACATAATTTTTTTAGCTGAAGCAATTAAACAATATATTTTAATCTTAAGCCGCATATAATGCACTTAAAGAATGTGTGGTAAAAAAAAATGTTTTAAGCTATTAACTATATATTACCATGAACGGCAACCCAATCATTAATATTTTCTCCTTCCGGTAGCTTGACAACTTGACGTAGATTTATTCCTGACTGTAGACTAGCCTGCGCCTGTTTATGTAAAGAATATCGAATAGTTCCAGCTGTAAAACGTTTCTTTGGCCGAAAAGTCTAAAAATACATATTTAATTATATATTTATATACTAGGATGTGGTAAAAACAAAGTATATACCTTTCCCTTTTGAAAAAATTCCAAAAATCCATTGAAAGACATTTTGTTTGTAATTGTTAAAAATTTAGTTTATTTCTTTAAAATCATATATCTAATTCTTACGCAACAAGATATATATAATTTAATTCATTTAAATTATTGTAAATACAATATATTCTGAAGTAAACTACAAAACTTAAAAGCCGTGCGTCAAAGCCCTTACAGAGAATGAAATGAAAAAGAAACATATTAAGGTACTAATGCCCTGTAGAGATGCTCATAGTAGATGTGTTATAATATGATTAGACAGTCAAATTTCCTTAATTTCGTAAATATGAAATTAAGTAAATTTCGAAGGTGTTCATACTGCCCCAAATTAGGGAAATCATATGCTTTTTGTTTACAAACCAAATGCTAAAAATTACATGCTTCAAACACTATTTGTATTTTTAAAATTTTAAAAGTTGATTGTTATAACTGTAAAGTATGGCATTCAGTAGTTTTATTAGCTTTAGTGGATTTCAAGTATATGTTATTTTTCATTCTATTTTTAATTAATAACAGTTGCGGGTTTTTAGCACTATCAAAATATTTTCCCGGTTTTATTAAAGTCAACTGTGACTAACGCTTATTTTAAAAAAAATTTCACTTTTTCGTAATCTCAACTTTATTTTTTTCTTAAAATTTATCTAACGAGTAGTTGCATTTGAAATGTCCCCTAACTTTAGGCTTATTTTCAACGAAATTAAGGCCATAGTCCTTAACTTCGTTCTAATCGCAAAACTAAATATATGGAAAAAAAACTTAATTTTGCTGAAACAAAGATGAAATTAAGATTTTTGCAAAATTAAGGTGTGCCTGAACATAGTATTACAATTAAATTAATAAATTTCATAATTTAAAAGAAATTTTATAATACTGTTTATATAATTATATTATTATACTATTTTATTATTATTATACTATTATATAATATTATACTATTATTTATATTATTATATTACTATTTATATTAATCAATACTATGGTTTTGCCCATTCCATTCATTAATTATTTTAATTATGCACACAAAAACTGTATATTTAAGCATTTTATTAATTTATTCATAACTCATTCATAATTTATTTTAGCCAAATAAACAAATTAAATTTTATGTTTGCAAAAAATAACAAAACCAAAACAAACAAATTGAGTTTTGCTCAGCTGATAGAGACAGCATATGATTTTTTTTTTTTAACGAAAGTAAGAAATTATAATTGTGGTGTTGCCACAGTGTAATTTTCAAGTATTAAATATACATTAAGACTGAAAAGTTTTCGGAAATTCTCATTTAAAATTCGCGCGCTGTATATTTTTCGATATTTTAAGTTTATGTAGTTTGGCAGCACTGTCCTTAATTACTATGCCAAAAATGAGCGCGATCTGTCAGACAGTTCGTTTACGGCAGCTGTTGAAACCAGTTCACCTCAGTAGTGCGTTGCGAAATGTCTTCGACGGTCGTACGACCGTCCTGAAAGGCTTTGTACCACTCATAAACTTGAGTTTTCGATAAAACTGATTCCCCATAAGCCTTTTGTAGCATTCGCAACGATTCTGCACACGAAATTTCGTTCGAAACACAAAATTTGATGCAAACTCTTTGTTCAATATTTTTTTCCATTGTTTTTTTCGCAACGCACTACTGAGGTGAACTGGTTTCAACAGCTGCCGTAAACGAACTGTCTGACAGATCTCGCTCATTTTTGGCATAGTAATTGTCCTTAATTGCTGCCAAACTACATAAACTTAAAATATCGAAAAATATACAGCGCGCGAATTTTAAATGAGAATTTCCGAAAACTTTTCGGTCTTAATGTAAATACATAAATAAATTTTATTTATTATTTTCAAGTATCTTATTAAAAATAAAATAAAATAAACTTATATAAAATAAATAAATTTACCTATTTATAAATTTAAATTTTTAAATAATTAAAATATAATTAAATAAACTGTAAAAATATTGTTTTATGAAAAAGCAAATACAGTTCATTTCACACACGCAAAAATTTGTATGTTCATTTATTTTACAAAAATTAGACTAGAATAATACAACTAATTTCACGAAGCCAGTAAAAGCGGGCACACCCTGCCAGTTGGATACTAGAGTAAGAAAGAGAAAAAAGAAAAAACAAAAACGAAGCTAAAATTATTGTTTGCCAGATGTTAAAATGCCACTGTCAAAATCACTAGATCAGTGATACCATACTGCCTGGTTATTGTGCCAAATCGCAAACATCCTGCCCGGCCGGAAGGGTACGTTCATGATGTTCCACAAGCCTGCACATCTTCTGGATAGGTCGCATACATTCGCCAGTTGAATGCTTGATTGTGACTACTCGTACCAACCCATCCTCGCCTGGGTGAAGTTTGATCACCCTGGCAAGCCGTCAATGTGTTGCTGGTAGATTCTCATGCCGGATAACCACGACATCACCTATGTTGATGTGGTCACCATTCTGATGCCATTTGGAATGTGGTTGCAAAGTCGAAAGATATTCATCGTGCCATTGTCGCCAAAAATGCTGCTGCATTTGTTGCTAGGTACCTTGCCAATAGGTTCATTTGGTACTACCAGTAGTGATCTTCCGATTAGGAAATCTGCAAGTGATAGAGCCATCTTCTCGTCACAAATGTCATGCAATGGTATGAGCGGACGTGAATTCAAGCAAGTCTCGACGTGCACAAGTAAAGTATGTAGCTGATCATAGTAAATTTAATGAGTGCCAATAAAGCGTAGTAAGTGTTTCTTTGCTGACTTAATGGCAGATTCCCATAGACCGCCTTGATGTGGTGCGCCAGGTGGTAGAAAATGCCACTTTGTGCCTCGATTGGCTAATTGCTGTTGAGAATATTCATTATGCCAAACCTGTAAGTTAGCAGCCATTAAATGATCTGCGCCAATGAATGTTGTGCCATTGTCACTGTATAAGTGGTTACATGGACCACGCCGGTTTACGAAACGGGTGTATGCGTTTATGAATGCCTCAGAAGTGAGATCTTCAGCCAATTCAATGGGCACTGCCTTGGTTACCATGCACGCAAAGATTGCCACGTAAGCCTTCCGTGCGGTTCGTACAGCCTTGGAGCCAATTCGTATGGTGAATGGGCCGCAATAGTCTAAGCCAGATCTTGCAAATGGTGGAGATGGAGTGACTCGAGTCTTTGGTAATGTCGCCATACGTTGTTTTAGCATTATGTGTTTATGCCGCCTGCAAATAGCTCATGCGTGCATGCATTACTTGACCAAAATGCGTGCCTGTAGAATCCAATATTTGAGTCGAATAGTATGCAGCATAAGCTGTATACCGCCATGAAGTGTATCTTGATGCACCTGCCATATTAAAAGCCTAGCCAATGTGCTATCCTTAGGAAGAATTATTGGATGATGTTGGGGCTTAATCACCCTCGCATTATAGAGGCGGCGGCCTACTCACAATATCTTGATGCCAACAGTCGAGCTGATGAATGGACCCAGTTCAATGAGCTTGCTGGATGTGGATATGGGCTGCGCCTTTTGCAGCTGCGTGAGTGCCGCTGCGAAATATTTCGCTTGCTCTGCCTTGATGTGGTGATTTAATGTAAAGTCCATTTCGCCTGTACAGATGTGTGTATGCGAACGAAAACGCTCATGTGCCTTTTTGCAACGCAATATGTATGCAGTAGTGCGCAATAGCTTGCCAAGATGACTAAACCGGTCCAACAGATCTATGACGACCAATTCATCGCCAGAAGTGTAGTGTGTCTGTAGTGCGGGTTGACCTGTTACCTGCAATGCCTTTACCTTAAGTGGTTTTAACTCGCCTTCCATTATTGCCAGCTCTGTTGGTCCACAGTTGTGCAGCTCATTGATTGGATAATCAGTTGAATTAGGGCTATGCCACCACAAAGTATAGGTATACAACGCCAAAGGGGATGTGCCACAAGTGGCGCAAACAGCTTGGTTGAGTCTGGTAGGAATGTGATGCCAATGCCTGATATCTGTCATCGATTGAACGCAGCCAACGCGATTAGCAACGTACTGCTTCAATTGTGATGTGTTTTTGCGTAGCCAACATAGAGCAATATTTGAGTGGGAGTATAGAGTGTATCGTACGTGCTCTAAATGCAAAGCCTGCCTTATTTCGTGTAAAAGGGTAGCCAACAATTGCGCAGCGCAAAGTTTCAATCGGGGTACTGTTACCGAATGTAATGGTGCCACTTTAGATTTTGATGCGATGATGTGACTAGTGATTTTGCCATTGTGGTTTGTTGCCAAATAGAGTACTGCAGTCATCTTCGTGATATCGCAGAAGCCAGGAAGTTGAATTTGATATCCGGGTTGTAAGCCTATCCAACGCGGTATTCGCACTGCCTCCAGTTGCGACAACTGCCTTCGGTATGTGAGCCATTTTTGCAACAGTTCAAGTGGTAATGGGTAGTTCCATGCCAATTTTGCCTGTCAGAGTTTTTGTATGAAAAGCTTAGCCGTGATGATGACTCATGCTAACATGCCAATTGGATCATATAATTTCGCAGCATCACTAAACACTTGCCTTTTAGTGAGATGCTGTGTATCATAAGAGCGGACCTGATAGAAGAGTTCATCGGGAAGTGGATCCCAATGCAAGCCAAGAACAGTGGTTTCTGCCAAATGTGAATTAAGCTGACATGGATCAGCATCGCCAAGAAGGTGTGCCAAGACTTCAGCGCTATTTGATTTCCATTTCTTAGATGGAACTGTCCTTCTGTCAACACATAGGAGAAATCGGTCGCCAGTTGAATTGCCATGCCAATGGAAGGTATACTCTTAAGGTATTCATCCACGTAAAAATCATTCAGGATGCTGCAGAAAGCAGTTTTAGCTCGTAGTTCATCTGGGAGTTTATGAGAATTGTCTCTACCACATTGCTGCATATCGCGAACAGCTAAATATGTGCCACTGATTGTGCCATATGTAACGGTAGCCAATTGATATGTGCGAATGGGTTGATCGGATGATTCCCGCCTGAGTTTCTGTTGCGATTGCCTGTGCCTGACGTCAATTTTGACTTGCCTGAACATTTTCTCCACATCTGCTGTGAATGCAATGCGATGCTGCCTGAAGCGAAGTAAAAGGTTGAGCAATAAATCCTATATTGGAGGGCCAGCCATTTGTGTATCTTTTAATGAGATGCCATTCGAGGTTTTTGCGGAAGCATTGAAAACGACTCGGAATTCTGCCATAACTGCATGATGTGGAATGTAGTTTGGCTGAGTTGGGTCGCCTAAATGATGCTGAATAGAGTGCATGTGATCAAGCTGTGCGTATTTGCGCACAGTAAGTGCGTAAGGAATAAGGACTCTTCAGTAAGTGTAAGGACTCTTCGAGCTATGCTGGCGAGCTATACTCGTAGATGAACACCTAAACCAAATATGTTCCAGGTACTTCGATACTGCATCGCCGGACATTTCGGGATTGCAGCGCCGAGCATGCAGACGAGAAAGTACATGCCAATCCGGGAGAGTACGTACAATCGGATTCCTGTTTGCAGTCAGGGTTAACAGACTGTATTCTAGCTTGTATCTAACTGATACCTGCCCGCCTCAGTGAGTAACTGTAGGCTTACTGTGTTAGAGGGGGTTATAACGGTGGACTTACCTTTCTCCCACACTCATGGAATTATTTATGGATCTAATAAAAAACTTGAAGTAGCAGGTTCTCGAGCTGTAACTCAATTGGCGAATCAGATGGAGTCTCATAACCAAAATACTAAACGCTAGACTTTAACTCTTAGGCCATGGAAGCGTACTGGGTACTGGATCGAGTACAGAAGCACTCTTATAAGGAAATTAAGAGCAAATAGTAAAAACTTCAGGAAGTTCTGTGACAGCATAGAACACACTTTAGAGGCAGCAAGACTCTGCAAAGTGTTGACCAAAGAAAAAGTGTTGACCACTTCCTTTAACCAGTCTGAAAAAAGAAGGAAGGATCCAACTACTTCTCGAGATCCACTTTCCAGCATCCCCTTGCGTAGAGGAACAAAAAACTTATGAATATAAGCCCAGGATTAAAGGGCCTAGAACTAACAAAAAACTGGTGCAAGAAGATAGGACTGAGTATAGTAAAACTGAGTTGGACCAAAACTACAGTTCTGACTTTTACAATAAAATACAAATTCCAACATCTGAAGCCTATCAGGCTTGATGAAATTGAGGTGAAAACAATAAAAACGGTTAAGTTCTGAGGCACATATCTCGATCAAAAACTCAACTGGAAACACCATATTGAGAAGGTCAAGCAGACAGCCACTAGGGCCCTTATGGCCTGCAGGTTCACGGCAGGTAAACATTAGGATTGGAATCTTAACAGGGCACTGTAAACTAAAATACCATCTCACGGTTCTTTGAAGAGAATAAAGAGTCAGCCACACATGTGCTGTTATAATACCCTAAGCGAATGCACGTACGGAATACAATGATGAGAATGTAAACCCTTACGGAAGAGGCAACAAAAATCTGTAAAGTAAGTTCTATACTACCTTTAATCGATGCAACAGGGCATGGAGCATAGATCCGACGGTTGCAGTGCCACAATCCATATAAATAATAATAATATATTATTGATAAAAAATAAACTACTAACGTATTCTTCTAATGTCTTCTGGAGTCATCTTAATTTAGCTTTAATATATATATGTCTTGTATGGATTTTTTCAGCTAAAAAAAAGTAACTGGATATGATTGCTAACCCATTTTTGATCTCACGCTTTTCACCAATTACATGTTGTTGCAGCATATACGTGATCCGCATGCATCTGTTCCTTTAAGGCAAATACTGCTCTTGTTTTGTATATATCGCCATAAATAGTGCCGAGGCTATACCGAAGATAACCATGGCTCGATAATACTATTAAATTTTTTTAAAGATTTATTACGCCTTATAATTCTTTGGTGTTTCGCATCTCTGAAACAGTTATTGAACAGTATTGAGATATTGGCTAGTGCACACTATGATAACAACATCCTTAGTAAATGGAGTATTGATTGGTTGTTATTTACGAGAGTAAGAAGACTGCTGCGACTTGACAGCGCCTTGATTTTCCATATCTCGGAAGTGGTCAGTTTCTTTTAGATGTATGTTACCCAATGCAATGTGTCTACATTAAAACTAAGAAGGTGAGTATGTCTATATATTCAAGAAAGACTAATTTTTGGAATTGATGAAAAATTATTTGAGTCCATTAAGCTGAAATAACGAGCTGCTCTTTAAATCAAAGCGTATGTTGAAACCGCATTTGATATTAGTCTAATTTATTAAGAACATAAATATTTATTAGATTTAAATAACGATTTTTTGTTTGTATAACGATTTTTTTGTTTGTATAAGATGCCAAATAGAGATAAGATAATACTTTAGTTATATGTATCCATGTCTCTATATTCTTTATGTATTATATATATATAAAATTCTGATAATTAAAATGCTCTTAAACAAATAGTGCTATTAAGACATAAAGTGGAATAATTAACAACTACAATTGCAGCACAAATGACAGCTTCGGCTGCACAGTCTATTCGTAACATTTATTTTATATGTAAGTATACCTACTATATACTGTGTATATAAGTTTGACTGATCGTTTTAACAGGTTTGGCTTTCGCTGTAGTTACATCATTTTGTACAGAAAGTAACAGCGTCGTTTACACACCATCGATCGCGAAGCGAAAACATTGTTTAAATGCATACATGATGTTATTTTTTAGCATATTTGTTGTTTGTTTCTAGAGCGTGTTTAAAATATTGTGCATAAATTTGATGTCTAATAGCAAGCCACGATCGCTCGCCGTCAGCGGTGGATGGTGTGTAAAGGGTGTTTAGAGTCTCCGCTCCTTAAAACGTATTCTTTGGTTTCATAATTAAAACGAAATTTGTTCCAATTATTTGTGTTCCGCATTGTGAATGTGTGAGTAAGGAACGCAACACTAATTGTGGGAATAGTTAGCGTTGTTTACTTGGCGGTTATAAGTGGGTTTAAAACTTTTTTGTTTAATTTGATTGGTTGCTTCCAAAAAGACTAATTTCCAGTCATTAAAATGAATGATTTTCAAAAACTAGAAAAAATTGGCGAAGGAACATATGGAGTTGTTTATAAAGGTAGAAACCTAATAACTGGACAAATTGTGGCAATGAAAAAAATTAGGCTAGAATCAGACGATGAAGGTATCCCTTCTACTGCAATACGGTTTGTAATATATTTAGTTGTATATATTTCAATTCCTAATAAAGAACTTGTTTTAATAGAGAAATATCTTTACTGAAGGAGCTTAAGCATCCAAACATTGTTTGTTTAGACGATGTTGTAATGGAAGAAAACCGTTTATATTTAATATTTGAATTTTTGTCAATGGACTTAAAGAAATACATGGATTCGATTCCTCCTGAGAAATATATTGATGAAGAACTTGTGCGTAGCTATTTATATCAAATCACCAGTGCTATTTATTACTGTCATTGTCGTCGCGTTCTTCACCGAGATTTAAAGCCCCAAAATTTATTAATTGATAAAAAGGGTGTTATAAAAGTGGCTGATTTTGGTCTAGGAAGATCTATTGGCGTTCCAGTTCGTATATATACACATGAAATTGTGACTTTGTGGTACAGAGCACCTGAGGTTTTATTAGGATCTCCACGGTATGCTTGTCCAGTGGATATATGGTCAATCGGCTGTATTTTTGCAGAAATGGCAACTAGAAAACCACTTTTTCAAGGAGATTCGGAAATTGATCAGCTCTTTCGCATGTTCAGGTATTACTATTACCATTTAGTGCATACATTTTGTGATTTTTATACATATGATCAAATCGAATATTATTTGCTACTTTGTAATTTCTAAATTTTTTCGAAGTGGTAGTTTTTTGCAGTTTATGGATAAGTTTTAATAATTGACATGTGGATAGACAGTAAATTTAAACACTAAAATTATTGAAAGAGGTATCTAGGCTAGAGCATCGAATGTGATGATTCGGCTATTAAATGTTTTTGGGAAGTATTGATCTACTAACACTTAGTGGTTAGATGGGTCTGTGAAATTTATTAGGTTCCTCAGCAAGAGCACACTGTCGTTAAGAAATGTGATAGTGTGAAATGATGTCCATGTCTTGTTAATATTTTATTATTTAAGTCAGTGTCAGAACTTTCATGAAATAGATCACACTTTCAAAATCGCGAACCTTGAAACTGCATTTGAAAGAAGATAAGCTAGCACTAGGGAATCTTATATAATTAGACTTTACTTTCGGTACTGAGTTTTTGTTAAAAAATTTTAATGGTTTGTATGACATTCTCCTTACCAGGTTTGAAAACCACAGAAAGTGGTGCCCAAAGTAAAAAGTGAGTCTTTATCGAGATAGTAAGATATTTTTGAGATATTTCGTTATAATCCGAAAAGAAATAAATATTTATGATTCCAACATTCTAAGAGATAGACAAAGGCTCACAAAGGCCCTTAAATGCTCCTTAAGTGTAGCGAAAAACCCGGAGGAGGTAGTGAGGTGGTTGCTGTTATAAGTTTGGACTATTATATTATTCGAAGTCATGAACGCTTCAATTCTAGCAACTTTTTTCTTTGAATATTAGAGTTTTATTAGAAAAGGCATTATTTGCCATTCTTATTTGTAGTAAGCGGGAACAAGTTGTAGATTGCTGGTAGAATTATGATCAGGGTTTAGAATTGTGCTCATGTATTGATTTTATTATGTAAATAGATCTAACGTAATACTAGCTCTTGTAGTTAATGCATTGAAAAATAATAATGATCCATTACATATTGAGCATATCCATGTGACAGGCTTTGAAATGCTAGGAGTGATAGCTGCCCTCAATAAAGTGGAACTGTGATAAGTGATTGAGCCTGACAGAATAGTATATTTAGTGAAAGCAAGTTTATCAATTTGTAACTAACCCAAAACAAACTGAACTGAATAGTAAATTAAAATTTCGGAAAGCTTAAAGATTATTTTTTTCTTAAATTATTTTACTTTTTTTTTCGTATAGGTAATTAGTTTAACAATATTTTGTCTATATACTTAAATCACATCAGTATTAAAGTTAAATATTTTTATTTCTTGATTTTTAGAATTTTGAAAACTCCTTCTGAGGATATGTGGCCTGGAGTAACTTCTCTTCCAGATTATAAAGTAACATTTCCGTGTTGGTCATCGTTCACACTACCTAAACAATTGAAGAATCTGAACGAACTTGGCCTCGATTTAATACAGAAAATGCTTATTTATGACCCGTGCCATCGTATTTCGGCTAAAGATATTTTAAAACATCCGTATTTTAATGGATTTAATGCCACTGTGGTTGGATAAAATTGAGTAAAACTTCTTTTTAAAAAATATTTTTAAGCTTTATATTATATTGGTTTTAACGTATTTAAGAGTATATAATAGATTTCATAAGTGATTTAATTGATTATAATTATAAATTTTATTATGTTTAATTTGATTATATTAATTGTATTGTTTTTTGTTTCATATCATAATTTGTATCAAAACCATATTCTGAACCTATTGAAATCAACTCGTGGAAATTATTTTTATGATAAAACTATGATTTTTAGTGATGAAATCATGTCCTAACTGTGAAATGCATAAAGTGGAAGTGAAGTGAAGTCGTTGATTGAATGACAAAGCTTTTAAAGGTTGTTTGCAAACCGTCGTATCAAAATATATTGATGTTGTGCAGAAACTGATAATGCAAAATCATCATAATAACACTTTGCTTTTGTAGGTACTGGTGAAATGTTCACTTTAACCCTTTTATCCGTCAATTAGTACTTCAAGAAAATTAATGTCATTCACGAAAGTTAGAACTATCCCGTTTAATTTGATTTTCCAGAAATTGAAATTACATCCAACTAGGCATTAGCGTTTTGTTGGCATTTTTTTTGTTCCCAGGTATTTTTGCCTTTTGTATATAAGTGAAACACATTTCTCTAAGTGAAACACATTTTTCTTCTATGTGCTGTGATGATTTAGGTTCTTCATCGTAGTACTCCCATAAGGGATTTTATACAATACCTGCAACGACGTCTTTTCAGCCTACTGTGGCGGTCAATACTCCGGTAAATATTTTTAATCTGTTAATTGTTGGTGGATAACTTTTAAGGTAGATTTCCTGAAATTTTTTTTTCATCCAGAAATTTAGAAAAATTTGAGGATCGAATACAATTACAACGTCAAAAGCTAAAAGAAAATTTAAAAATTATGTAATTGGTTTCACTTACTAGGTACGTTGACGTTTTATGGGGCTTAATAACGAGTAAATTTGCCGACTACGAAATTCCCATTCATAGTACATACAACAGACAGGGAATCCTATGACGACCGGTCTTGTAACTATAACAAAGAACTACTAGTAGTCGTGTTGTTTTGTAGTCTTTGTGTATGTGTAAGTATGGGTTTGTTGTATACGTGTATAAATGAGTAAGATGAGATGGCTGTAATTTTGAGTGAGTGAAGGTGTAAAGGTTAGTAGATCTTTGGGGACCAGAGTTTTTGATAAATCAATAAACCCTAGTCCATAGTTTGTGGTGCAGAGCCACAAACTTGTGAGTTAGACGAAAGGGTACATAATCTTGAGGTCGCTTTTAATATAGTTTACAACAATTTGGTCCAGTAATCTGAAGTAAAAAATTGTTTTCACTTTGGTGGAACATACGGTAAAGATAATGTGGTTATTTTAGTGTCAGATATGTTCTCTAACATAATAAGCGATATACCGAAGATAAGTACTTCGTCCACAAGCTGTGAACTAGGTTATAACACTGGAATGACTAAAACGATGATGTATACTATTAAAACTAAAATACCGGTTTTGATTAACAGTTAAACGGTTTTGATTAAACAACAGTTAAAACTATCGAAAAAATTCAAATATCTAGAAGTTTTGATGAAAAATAAACTAAATTGGAAATATAATGTCGAACGAAGGGTCAAGAAGGCTTGTGTAGCTTTGTACTCTTTCAAAAAGATGTTCAGCAAAAAAATAAAGGGTTCGTCCCTTTATTGCACATTGAATTAAAATGACCATTGTGCGTCTAAATATCACTTATGGTGCCAGCTTGAATTAAGAGTTATAACATTCAGCAGAATATACAGGACATCATGTGTTTGCGTTACAGAAGCATTTAGGAAGTCCACTTCGGCTGCCCTAAACGTAATGCTACATCTGCTACCCGTTGATCTTCATATTAAATATGTCGTTCGCAATAGCGCTGACAGACTGAAAGTAACGGTCGACTGGGCAGGACGTATTTGTGGACATGGCCGGATTCGAAACACAGTTGGGAATAGTCAGTATAGGATGACATTTGATTACCTGATTTCATATTTTTATTTTTTAAAAAAATTTGCAGACAATATTTCCGTTGAGACACGAATGGAAAAGAAGAAATTTCCAAGTAAATCACAATGTATCAGTTCTCATGTACAGCTTGATAATGACTGCGGACTGGACTAGATATTTTCGCGCCACTTGCAGATATTAACCACTCCCTACGTTAAGTAATCAGACCACGGTTTTTCAGACTGAAAATAAGTGAAATAAATAATAATAAATAAAAAACCATTATATATTTAGCAGCATTGTGTTGGAGACAGCAGCCTTGTTCTAAATGCCCGAAATCATTTTTAATAGCCTGGGATTTCACCAGATAAGAGTAGATTAGTGAAACTTTCAATCGTTTTTTATGATACCAATTTTGTGATCTCTATGCCTATCTCGAAATAATCTATCTAATTTCGTGTTTATTGAAAAAATTAAAACCAATAATCTTTACTATGGTGACTTCAATGGTGCAATATTCCGCATCACATTAAACTCAATCCCATCTTTCAGGTTTTATTTTACAATAAAAATAAATGCAATTGATAATATATTTACGTTTTTTTAACAATTATTTTTTTTAATGAAAAGAATTATCAAAATTCTAGACATACATACAAACCGATACAAATTGATAAGTCGTCTACACACTGTTACAAATATTCAATTAAGACATGCATTTTAAAGCTATATTTTATATTCGTTTATTTTTATGCAGCCATCGTAATTTTAAAACCATCAAAATACGAATGGTTCAAAATCTCTTTTGCCGAAATACGATGAATTGGATCATAAATAAGCATTTTTTTTATTAAGTCAATTCCCTTTTCATTCAGATTTTTTAGCTGGTTATTTAGTTGATACGTTGACCAACAGGGAAACGTAGTCTTATAATCTGGAAGTGAAGTAACGCCAGGCCATATATCCTCGGTAGGAGTTTTTAAAATTCTAAAATTTTGAAGTAAAATAATATATTTGGTTAAAACATTTTTTTAGGTGTGAATTTATGACTACGAATAATTTGGATGTTTAGAATAATACATTCGTTTTACAAAAAACTACATACAAGCTACACTTAACACATTATACTAAAAACAACTATTGCTTACAAAAACAGTTTAGCACGAAGTAAAATTGTTAACTAAACAAAATCCTTACAATATTATTTAAAATGTATTTGCAATTAATATTTGTCTTAAAGAACTTATTTCATATCATTTATCATTAAGTTTTTATTTACTAAGCTTGAAAAGCAAATAACATTGCAGTAAAATTTTACAGATTTTATGTTTGTATGGTAGTTAACATAAAACATTACGCGTTTTGATCATCGATGGACATGCTAGACCAGTATTACTTGCTGAAATTTACAAATTTTTCAATAATATCAACTTGTGATTCTATTTTACCCTGCACAATAAAGAAGAACTTGTGCAGCTTTCTGTATTGACACAACTAAGATCAACTCTGGTGGTTTTAAACCCTGAGTTTCTTCATATATACGGTAACACAATGGGCCATTAGGCCTAAGTGGATCCACTAGGGATCGCCGGTATAACCTGACCTAACCTAAGATAAACTTTGAGTCTGCATGAAAAAACATATAAAACATACATCTATTGATTTTTGCTACCCCTAAAGTCCTACCACTGAACTATAACTTATTGTGATCTTCGCACTTTTCAACTTGCAGGACAGGAGACTTATACTGCGCTTAGAACATGCACAACAAAAGATTTTTACTACACTTTAAGTTCGCACAACAAAAAAAAACAAAAGACCTGTATTGCTTACCCATCCCGCACAACAAAGAGTTTGTGTTTATGTCTGATCCTGCGCAGCAAGAAATGACATATTGTATTCCTCTCCGATCAAGAATACATTACGATTTGAGGGAATGCTTTCTCGGCTCTCCGAGCATGTATTAGTCTATGTATTATTATGCATTACTTTATACTCTTTGGATAGCTCAGAAATTATGCGCCAATGCAATGTTTTATTTAATTTTTAATTGTTATTCTAACTTCCTCCAAATTGCCTTCTTTAATATTATGCCAAAATAATTTTAGCTGGAAATCCGTTTTGAGGTATGATCTTGAGCACTGCTAGCATTTATGTCATCTGTAAATGTTATCTTTTGAGTTGTTTTTAAGTATGGGATATAAATAACAGGTGAGGGTTGTGATATCTGGAGAAAGGATTATATTTCGCTACGAGTTGTTGGAAAAACTACAAATTTTCGAAATAAATTTCGTTCCTATGAAAATTACTTCGCACAAACCGTATAATATTATTATTTCTTCAACAACCTCTCTGGGGGCAATTCATCCATTACCCAACATCATCTATATAATTATTTCCACGTTTTGATTATCGATGGAATTTGATTTTATAATTCATTTCATATAAAGATTTTGATCTGTTCTCTACCGAAGAAATCAGTGAGGATACTAATTTACGTCTCACATACTTACGCGAATTTGATTACTACACCTGTGCGATATTTTACATGTACATTACTGGTAATGCAACCACTACACAAAAAATATTTGATTTTATTCAAACGTCTCGTTTGTGCATTGAGGGACCAATCCTACAACCGTGTTGCAATTTAAAAGGGATGATTGCAATAGTATCGGGATAATCCAGTTGAATTTTTGTGTAAAATGATTGATGTGGATGAAATATGGTTTCATTACCATACACGAAACAACAGTCACAACAATGGTTTCCATTAGGAAACAATCCAGCTCAAAAAAGGTTAATACCGAAAAGGTAATATCAATAGTTTTTGGGACATACTTATGATTATTAAAATATTACGCTTTAATATTTTAAGAAAAAACTATCTTTCTTCCATTGAGACAATACGCGGTTACATATGTGCGTAACCGAGATGTGCGAAATTCATGAATTTCGATGAGTTGCTTGTCCACCCAGCAGACCCTAGCGACATATTCCCATTTTTAAACTCTAAAAAAAACGGTGTTTGGCGGTAACATAACTACTAAACTCAAATGAAAAATATGCAGGCCCGGAGCATCCTGTTGCAAAAATACGTACGTACACGTGAAAATGCAGTCAAACTTCCAAAACTCGAAGTTCCATTTTGCAAAGAAAAGGTTCGACTTATGGAGACTTCGAGTTAGAGAATTTTATTATTTTTTTTTTTGTTTTTAAAAGAAACTAGAATCACATTATAAGATATTTATTTATTTGTAATCAAATAAAGACTTCTATAACATAGAAGTTATAGTGAAATAAAATATTCAGAAAATATGGTTTGGGACTTTAATTTTTTTCTTATTTTCAGTAAAAAGAGATTCGACTTTATTCATACTCTTATAGTGATCATCAGTTGTGGTGTCATTCGTTTGCAAATATAAATTCAGAATTTTGAATGAGTCTTCTACTTCATTCTTGGAAGGTTGACGAACACTTACATCCACCCAACCCTCATAATCATTTTCCGTTGTGCTTAGAATTGGATCCAGTAATTTAGATCTATAGTGCTCAATAATATCGTCATCTGTAGGAAAGCTTGATGTACAAATTTCATTGTCAAGCTCAATGTAATCGTTAAGAGTAGCATTGGAAGTGATTTTATTTAATTTAAACCACGATGCCAGCGACTGGCATTTGCACAAAGAAGCAACATAAAAAAGAAAAAAATGAAACATTTGGTTTGGAAAAAGGGACTTCCTCTAACAGCAAAATACAACTATATTTAAAATAAAAATTCGACTTATAGAATGCAAATATAGAGAAATACGAGTTATAGAAGCAGAATTGTATGTAATTTGCTCTCTAAAATCTTGGTGCAATGTTTTTGGTTATAGTCATAGAAAATTCGTGTTATAGAAGTTCGAGTTATGAAAGTTTGACTGTATAATTGAAAACAATTTAATTGAATTACATTCAGTAACATTAACGATATGAAGAAAATATAATCTACAGTAAGTGAAATAAAATCAAATATCAGAAACATTTCATTTATTTCGAAGAATATGAAGCCAAGTTGCACTAACTCTATCGCTGCAAATCTAGAAATAATCAAAATCCATCAAAATCTGTTGTATGCATCATCGGCATTAGAAAATATCAAGATTTAATTAAAAACATTTTTTGAAACAAAAGAATCATATATGCAACTGGTATAAAAAATAACTTAAAATAGTGAAACAAAATAAATCAATTTTGTGTTTAGAAAGAACCCAATAAAGTGCAATCATTAAGTAACCTTTATGCAAACATCACTCGATTAACCTGTCTATATACCTTTTCTTTGTGCTCAAAACTCCAGGTTCTGGCATCATATGGTTATAATGCCGTGACAGTGACAAAGCTTCAGAGCATGAAGTTTTGAGCACAAGGTAAAAGTATACAAACTAAGTTATATTCCACATTTTTTGATCACACAGAGAAAATAAATTAAATGGCATTAACTATATTTGTTTGTAAATATATTAATTATCTATTTAATTATGTGATTCATAATTCAAGGAACTTTAGTTAAGACAAGTAAAATAAGCAGAACGCGTCCCATACAATAGATACGTACAATAACATAGCCTCCAGCTATCTGTGTTATCATACAAAAGATTTTATAATTCATATGAAATAGTTACAATATGCAACATTTCGTAGAAACCAGCCATCCAACGAACCACTAAGTTGTGAGCAAATTCATTCAAAAAGGCTTCAAATACACATACCAAAATTAAACACATTTTTTCATGCACTTTTATATATATTACCTGAACATACGAAAGAGCTGATCAATTTCCGAATCTCCTTGAAATAGTGGTTTTCTAGTCGCCATTTCCGCAAAAATACAACCAATTGACCATATATCCACAGGACAAGCATACCGTGGAGATCCTAATAAAACCTCAGGTGCTCTGTACCACAAAGTTACAATTTCATGTGTATATATCCGAACTGGAATGCCAATAGATCGCCCTAAGCCAAAATCAGCCACCTTTATAACACCCTTTTTATCAATTAACAAGTTCTGTGGCTTCAAATCGCGATGAAGAACACGCCGACGGTGACAGAACAATATAGCACTAGTAATTTGATATAAATAGCTACGCACAAGTTCTTCATCAATATATTTTTCAGGAGGAATCGAATCCATATATTTTTTTAAGTCCATTGACAAATATTCAAATATTAGATATAAACGGTTTTCTTCCATTACAACATCGTCTAAACAAACAATGTTTGGATGCGTAAGTTCCTTTAGTAAGGATATTTCTCTGAAAAGTGGTTTCAATTAAAGCATGCGTCTGAAATTTTTGCATTACAAACCTTATAGCAGTCGAAGGAATTCCTTCATCATCTGATTCAAGTCGAATTTTCTTCATAGCAACTATTTGTCCGGTGGACAAGTTTTTAGCTTTATAAACTACTCCATAAGTGCCTTCACCTATTTTTTCAATTTTTTGGAAATTATTCATGTCTCTTTTTCAAACCACTAACGCCCGCCAAATTATCAACGTTGTCCACTTCTGAGAAAGTAGCTACTTTTAATTAATACGTGAGAAACGAACACAATCAAAATTTAATTATCTATACTCCTAATACACCACAAATCATGAATGATGAATGTTTGTCAAGCAAGGATTATTAATAATCTTATGCATAATTAAAAATACATAAACTTGCAGCGTCAAAAATTTAAATTTGAGAATAGCAACCAAAGAATATAATGAAAAGATACTGAGAGTTACTCCAAAATTTTCTGGATTATTCATATAATATTCAAAATTTTGTGTAATTAGCTGAAACTATCACGCAGTACACAAACAAAAAGCCTGATGCTACACAATGGTGCGTAATCATTTTGCCCACCCGGTCCCTACTTACCATGATATTTCCTGGAATAAGAGCACTTTCTAACAAATTTCGTTGCCTGTTTTGGTTTTTTGGCATTAAAAATGAAATTTAATTATAAAAGCATCAAAAAAGGTAAATATGTTACAAATTATTACTTAATTAAAATTTTTTTGGAGATAAAACGGAAATGCGTGCTTGAATGTTTAGATTTCAAACATCTTTATATTTTTCCAAATAATTATCGAAGGTAAATTATTAATTAAAAACAATTCAATTTATTGTTGTAGAAATAAGTGAATACATAAATGTATTAGCATATTAGAAATTAAGGTGTGTAGTATATATAATAAACCACCAATTAATTTGAGCACGCTAGTTATAATTTAACGCTTTGAACGTTATATACTAAAGTGATTAGAATAATAATTTATTCTTAATATAATAATAATTATGAAAATTGAAAAATCCTGAGGCAGAATATATATTTTAAAATAGGTATTTATTTAATAATGTTAAATATATTTTAAATATATTTTAGCGAATAAATATATTCGCAATTATATTAATTAATTATAAAATTATATTACTATTTATCGTTTGAAAACAAAATATTAAAACAATGAAACCTAAAACTTGAAATATGTATACATATACTAAATTCTCTATTAGATACTAACTTTTCCTATAAATGTATTTTTTTAATAGCATATTTATAAGTATAGTACGTATATGTGCAATAAGAAAAAAGAACTATTATTTTAATAAATACTATACAATTCTTTCACTTTTTCAAAACATTTTCATGACTAATTATATATATTTACTTACGTCAATAATAATTATAGCACTGTTTATTTTAATTTACCTATTCTTTATTTATATTTGAATTATATAGCAATTTTGAAATTTATATATAAATTGAAATAAAACTGATATGTAAAATCATGCTTATATATACGCATTCAAATGAAATTAATATATACAATGGATTTTCTAATAACAGTAATTTATACTAATTCTTCTGATGCCTACACTCTAATAAGCAACCACAAGTATAATAAACATTTAGGTTATAAGCCACACTAAATTTAATATTTGACAATTCTGGTATGGTGAATAAATTAGAGAGATTTCTTTGCGATATTACACAAGGAGGCAGAATTATTCAAAATTTCTTCTCAGTTTTTTTCTTTACCTTCTTTGATGGTAACTATAAATTCATAAAATATAAACGATAGAAATGCAAAGTGGTGAAAATCAAAATATTTTGATTGTTAGACACACATGTGGTTTACATATATTCCCAAAATATCATCTCAAAATATTTGTGAATAAATCCATTGACAGTTTTTGTAATTTTTTTTACAAATATTATAAATGACTTTTGTTTTATTATATCCAATTTTTTAAATGATTTATCTCACCCACATAAAATTACTACAACATATTAAGGTCGTGTGCGAGTTAGGCTAAGTTGATGCTAAACCAAATGGGAGATTTTTTGGGATTTTTTGCACTGCACACATTTTGCCATTTATCAACACGATCGCCACATCAATACATTATCGACACAACTTAGAATTTCCCTCATTTAGAACGCAACTTAGCCTAACTCGCACACGACCTAAATACACTAATTTTTCTCTGCTCTATGTTATGATTTCACCCATAGTCACTTGATTTTTTCTCTCTTTGTACTCTTAGTACACATTTTGGCAAAAACCACAAAAACCGTATGGTATAGACCGCAAAGCATATAAAAATTTTTTAAGAATGTGTGATAAGACTTACCATATGCTATATAAATTCGACGAAAAAGTTTTGAAAAATCATTTGCAAGGTGTCACACTTTAATTTCTCCAGAGGAGATTTGGCATTACATCTGTGCAGTATAGCACACTGATTTTAGTGTTTTTGACAGTAGCACTTTGTATTTTGACGGGTTTTTTTTTGGCTTTTTGATTTTTTAGTGTTGTGTGTACGTTTTTTTCGATTTCGTAAAAATTAATCAAATTATTCTTGTCTAATATTTGTGAAACAAATAAATATTCAATTTTGCGTGTATGAATTTTTTGTTTTTTTGCTTTTTCATACATTTGTTGGTGCTGAAATCCGAGAGTTTCGGTTACTACCATAAAACTTTTTTTCAGAAGTAAAATAATGCAACATAGCAGACGCATTTCAAGAGGTTGCAAATTACACGTGCAGAACTGGTGGCTGGGATAAAGGAAGAATGCAAGTTGAAGTCTCACACCAAGCTGTGAGACGAAATCGAAGATCTATACAACAAGGCATTAATTAAATTGCGGTGTAAGATGGCGAGATGGCGATGGTGATGCACCGTTTATGGATACAGTATCAAATGTGACAGGCGGTGCTGCGTATCCTCATAGGTTGCTCATTAAATTGGAACGTCTGACTATACCCAAATTCGATGGCACAATGCGCAATTGGTTGATATTCAAAGACACCTTTGAGATGTTGGTGCATTCTCAGGAGTTTCCTAAGACCTATTAACTTGGTGAGGTTAGTGAGACTGTCCATGGCGATGCAGTAGCTGCTGCAGCTCTTTGTCAGGATAATGCTTTGATTGCTGCAAGACTATCAGATACAAGTGCCTTTCAACCTCCGTGTGAACCTCCGCTTGGATGAAAGTTGGCCATACACCTAGTGCGAGCGAGATTCTTGTGTTATGTTCAAATATCTCGGTAAAAATCCTTCTTTCGTTTATGAGCCGTCGAGCCACAATAGAATTAGAAACTTAGGTTCCAGGTTCTATTATAAGAGTTTCTGCACGTCCACATGACCCGGGTGGCTTTGCCAATTGTATTATCTAGTTAAATGTTCCAGTTAAGACGCTTATGCAGGATAAACTCCAAATATTTGACTTTATCGTGGCATTCAACAGCCTTATCTTTTAATGATAGGGACCCAATATTCAGTTTATACCTCCTGGAAAATGGTACCGGAAACAATGACTACCAGGTCATCTGTATAACCTATAGCATTGCAGCCAGATTGTTCCAGCTTAACTAGCACATCATCAACTATCAGCGTCCATAGCAATAGTAAGAGAACCCCACCCTGAGGGCAGCCCCGTACAGCTCTAATGCTGACCGTACCCAATTTGAAACATATGTTCCTGTCTCTTAACATCCTATCTATCTACATTATTGTAAATAAGTCCATATCTTTATGAAGTGTTGTCAAAAGCTCCTTCTATATCTAGAAATGCATATAAAGTAATCTCCTTAGATTGAAAAGTGTCTTGAATTTTGCTAAGCAAATAATGTGGTGCGGCCAACGTAGATTTGCCTTTTGTGTAAGAAAATCGGATGAATTGGAGAGGGGCATTTTGCTCCAGTTTATTCCGTATGCGCAGATCAATCAGCCTTTCAACAGTCTTCAGTAAGAAAGACGTGTAGAACTTTGACTGGACCATGGGTTTATTACCAAGTTTGGGAATAAAAATCACGTTCACTTCTCTCCAGGTATGAGGAATATAACCCATAAAAAAACAAGCCCCAAAGAGTTTGATTAATAGGTCTAGAATGATATCTGTGCAATTCTGTAGTAACGCAGAGAAGATACTATCGCTTCCAGGCGCTTTAATTGGTTGAAATGAGCTAATCGCCCAATTGACCTTGTCCCTGTCGGAAATAACACCAGATTGTGCATATTGCTAACTATGGGAGCAGTAACTTTTTTATTTGATTCCAATATTGTTGTTCCGGTAACGAAGCCAGGGAAGTGTGTTTGCAAGAGAAACTCGAGGGTGTTTTTACGACTAATGATAAAGGAGCTGACGGGTTTTTTTAAAAGGACTACCACGTTTATTTTGACCTTATTTAAAGCGTTGTGTAGTCTATATGCATTAGGCAACTTCCTAATACTATCAAAATGGCTAGGCCAGGTAGTCCGTTTTGACTGTCTGATTGATTTGTTGTAGTCAGTGAGTGCAACTCTATATTCTTTCCACCTACCAGAGCGTTTTGCCCTATTGAATAAGCTCCTTACTAATATGCGGTTATTAGCTAGTTGCGAATTCCGCCAAGGTGTCAATTGGTTTTTTTAGGTTGGAAGACTTTTTTCTGCTGCTCGGATAAACCGGGAATTTCAAACCTGACATGTTGATGGTCAGAGCGTGACCCGATACTCCTTAATTCCATATTGATTTCTCGATAGTTCTGGTGCATAGGGTGAGATCCAATATCACTTTTTTAATTGCATTAATAAGAGTGGGCTTGTTACCTCTATGAACTATAATTAATCCTCATGACATAATAAAATCTACTAGGGACTCACCTTTTTTATTTACATTATTGCTCCCCCACACTGTATGGCGAACGTTAGATTCACATTCCAATATTAGCTGTCGCTCGAACGGTGGAACGGTTTTTTCTTCACCTGGGAAGTAGGCAGAGCTCATGACTACGTCTATGACCATTACTATTGTTGGGATTTCAACTAGAACCGCTAACAGGTCTCTAGGTATAAAGTGAGATGTCTAACGCTTCCAGCGATTAGGATAGCTGCACGCAGCACTGCTATCAATCGGTCATATATCAGTTTACCTAATATTGTATGTAGACTCGAATATAACCACCGATCAGCCACGGCTCTTGTATGACTCCGAGAGCGATGTTGTTGATTTGGGCAATTCTGTACAGGATGGCTGTTACTCCTTTTGTATGGTGCAATTTTGCCTGAAGCATTCTGAGAGTATTCATTTGGTCTCGTTAGGAGACTTTTGCACGGAACTATTCACGTTTGTCTCGCCGAAAAACTTTGTGTTTGACACCCTTCGATTGCTTCGGAAAAATTGCATAGATTATTTAGGCATTGCTCCTAAAATGGGAATCTGAACTGTGGAAGGACGTTTAGTTCCGGTTTCTCAGGAGTAGCCACTGTTTGGCAAATATTCGTATGGGATATTGATGGAGCTGAGGATGACTCTATGGTTTTTTTCATCCTGAACCACCTTTGGAGCGTTCTCCATAGGGTAAGAGCGAGGGTGGTACCCTTAGGCATCAATCTCAAGTGTGCGAATCGGTATGCAATCCTAGCTTTTAGGTCTGACTCCTTTCTCATGGATTCGTCATCAATGACGAAACCAGGTGCAGCATCTGACTCTGTGTCAGTCTGCGTATCACCTTCACCCCTTGGTGGAGAATTTGTTTTGAGTACCAATCGTAGCTAGAACTTTTTCGTTTGACAATAGCACACTTTGAAGAAAATAGCCACGAACTATCTAAGTTCGTGGGAAATCCTCTTCCTCAACCACGTTTAAGGCGAGTTCGCATTTGGCCCCTATGTAACCTGAAAATTGGTGGATCCACCCCCCCCGTTTTTTCATCACTGCAGACGATAAGTAGCCACCCCGTTCTAGCTAAGCATCCATCGAACTCCGGCTGTAAATCGTCGCTTTGTTGCTCGATTGCAACATTAGTGATAGCTTCTTGGAAAAGCGTTATTTGGTCAGCAGAGAGCGAAGTGACAGCCGCATCGACCGAAATGAAGCCTAAACGTACATCCTTAACAGCTAGACTGTACGATGGCTTGGTAAGTCCTATACGGGTTACCTTAGGATTTTCAGCAAAAGTCAATCCTAGAGATTGGTTCTCCGATCTGACCTGCTTATTCGCAGTTGAAAATTGTGTTGCGATTTTTAGAGCCTGTGCTCTGCTAAGTCCTGTTAATATATCCGCTTTAAGCTTTCTTCGTTCATTTCTTTTGGGATGACTGAATTTCGGGGTTTCCAAAATGAGGTTGCAAACTTTAGCGCCGACGACAAATAGAACGACTTTTGTGAGATCACACTGCCGGTGTTGGAATCACAAGATTCAGCGGTTTCGGAATTTAAAGACATGTCTTTAATGATTTCCATCCGCCTTACTTGAGATCGCGACGAAATGATCATTGGTACGTTCATCGTCGTCCATTTGGGCGAATACTGGAAGCCGCCATCCATCTCGACTGCGCTCCCGTAATGGAATCGTTTGAAGGTGATGGCATTACAGTGGCATCAAGGTCGTTGGAATTATTATTAGAGTTGTTCATGAAAACTTGTTTTATTTGGGATCGAAAAGTCACCCGCGCCATAGCCCGTTTATCGTGGGAAGTTTAATTAAAACTGTCTACAGGTATCTATAGTTCGCATATTAAAGACCAACTATCCTTGGCCACTCATCTTTAGAAATGTGCTGTTCCACCTTGGATTTGAGATTTAATTTAAGACGCTTTTGTTTACGTTCGCCCAATTACAATTAGCCAGTATCCATAGTTAAGACATGACTATACTGAGGAGCTATTTCTAGCCGTCCATGCGTAGAAGATGTAATCACACTACCGAAAGTATACAACAGTTGCAGTATGTACACAAAATACATGTTTATCCCTCTGTGTATCTGATGGTTGACCACCAAAGGTATGGTTACCTAAATACCTAATATCCATACCTAAATTCAACAGGATGAATATAGTTTTTGTTTTTTTTTTATTTTTCAAGGTGTATTGCGAGGATTTGCTAATTGTGGTCTGTTGACTTGTCACAACTTACCTGCAGGTAATCTGCAGAAACATCCCTGTTCATCAAATTATCATCTAATAATCATATTAGAAACTACAATTCTGTTCGCAAATACTGTTCAATATTTTAGCATGTCTTGAAGCTTAGTTTACATTGAAGAAGCACATCAAAATAAAGCCAAAAATAAACACCAGCGAAAGGTTATTAAAATGAATTGGCGTAGACGAAGATTAAAATACTTCGTTTATAATTAAATTGCAATTCTCAAACAAATTCTTAAACCAAACAGATCTTATTTAAAATTCACCGAAATATTGTTATCGTCCCATTTATTAAAAATATGTGATGGTATAAAAGGCAAATTGCTGTTATTTTTTTTGCAACTACTTGAAGTGTTAACATATATATTACATTCCATACATTACATTAAATCGCAACGTTTTTTGCACATTAAAACATCAATTCTTGACTGCCGCCTCTTCGTCTTCAGCATTTCCAGTTTTTATAAGTTTTCAATTTGTGGAGGAGCTATCAGCTTCTCAGTATTTCTCAGACGTTGTGTTAGTGCAATGACCGCTTTTTCTTGCTTAAGTACTGTTTTTAATAGTCATTATTCGTGATGTCATGTGGGTATTAATGTGCTTATTGCGGTAAATTCTTCAAAAATTTTCTAAATAGGTCATCTTTGCTCACAAAAGCCAAAAAATTGAAAAAAACAGGTTCTTTAGGCAGCAGGTAGTAGTGATTTGAAGGAAAGCAAATATGATCAAGAATTTTCAAACGTTGATGATGAAATAATTGTCCACCTCGCAAACATAATGAAATTAAAGTAGTTATAATACTGCTCAAAAACAACAAAACTGCAGTCGCCGATGGTTTACCGGCTCAGCTGTTTGAAGCTTGTGGCGAAGAGCTATCAAAATGCATGACCAACGATTGGAATTTAACTGTGTTTTGCCCAATCCACAAAAAAGGTAATACTGCAAAATGCACCAATTATCGTAGGATCATCCTTCTAAATATCGTATTGAAGGTTCTATCAAACATACTATGAGAAAAATTGAAGCCAATCGTTAACAAACTGATTGGACTTTATTAGTGTGGGTTCACACACCATCTATTTGTCGACGCCAATCACGCTATGATAAGAAGCACTCTTTATTTACGAAAATTCAATTTCATGTAACCCTCTGTCTACCTTGTACTGTCGGTACTGTGTGTTCTACTCCCAACAATGTTATTTTGAGTTCTGCTGATGTCAATAATTATAACAAAAAACGTACATCTCCCTTTGTGGGTTCTTTATAAATTTGCCAGCCCATGTGCCGAAAGACTCGGAGACGAACCGCTTTTAACTTGAGGAAAACATACGCACGTAAGTAAAATTTAGTCGAAAGTCGCGAAAACCCCGGTAGAATACCAACATATGCCTGTAATTGTATTTACTAATGGTATTAATAATACTGTTTGAATACAATGCTGACATACGCCTCAGATATACGTTCCTTTTTTATTTTATTGCCTCTAAGTCGTCGATGTGGTACGTTGAAGATTGAGTTTGCATGAAAACAAAAAGCATAACAAACAAAAGAAATACGAGAAATGCTTAAACTAAAACAATATGAATTGTTTATTTTTGTATATATACATAATTGAGAAATATATATTATATTTATATACATTTATACTCGAATTAATATAAAAAATAATTTAAAATAATATTTATTATTTTATTACATTAATCACGAAATATTCTTTAAAATTATGGTTGCTTCAACATCATTTACATATCAATTCTTTACAAAGGTTTTAGTAAAATCTTAGTCATTTTACTCAGACGTAGTACTGGTAAAATCGTCAAAATATGGATGGTTCAATATATCTCTAGCTGTAAAACGATGAAACGGATCATAAATAAGCATCTTCTGTAATAAATCGATTCCTAGTTCACTTATATTTTTTAATTGTTCACGTAGAGTGTATGATGACCAACAAGGGAATGTTGCTTTGTAATCTGGAAGAGAGGTTACTCCAGGCCATATGTCCTCAGTTGGTGTTTTCAAAATTCTAAATATTGAAATATTTGCTTTACAAATGTAAATATATAAGAATAAGAAAAACAGCCAACAAATTGCCTTTGGCTTTGTTAAAACTTTAATATTCTTAACACAGTTATTAACGTTGCAAACAATTATTACTATACGTATTAATTTAAACCACAACCACATACTGAAATCGATTTTGTGATGCATGAACAAAATTTTGTATATAACAGATAACAATATAAATCAGATTTAATATTTAAATATTATACTGTAACTACTGAAAAATTGTAGTTTTTTGAAATCAAAATCAACAATCAAAAATCAAGCTGTTTAAGTACTAAGAACTTTTCATTAATTAAATTCACAACAAAAATTAACAACAAAGTTTATCAGCCATTAGTATTCCAATAAGAATAAATACAATTTATCCAATTAACATTTTGATAGGTTTATTCAATTTGTATTTCGAATATTATACCTGAAAATGTGGAATAGTTGATTAATTTCGGAATCTCCTTGAAATAGTGGTTTTCTGCTAGACATTTCAGCAAAAATACAACCAATTGACCATATATCCACTGAGAAGGCATAATATGGAGACCCCAACAAAATCTCAGGAGCTCTGTACCACAATGTCACAACTTCATGTGTATATACGCGAGATCTAGGACTAATGGACCGCCCGAGACCAAAATCTGCTACTTTTATAACACCCTTTTTATCAATTAATATATTCTGTGGTTTTAGATCTCGATGAAGAACATGATTGCGATGACAATAGTGTATGGCATTAGTGATTTGATATAAGTATCTACGCACTAATTCCTTATCAATATGTGTATCAGGAGTCATAGAATCCATGTACTTTTTTAAATCCATTGATAGGTACTCAAATATTAAGTATAAGCGATATTGATCCATGACAATATCTATTAAGCATATAATGTTTGGATGTTTAAGCCCTTGAAGCAGATCCATTTCCCTATTAAGAAATATTACTAAATATATCGAAAATGAGCTGTCTTTCAAACCTTAATGCTGTTGCGGGAATTCCTTCACTTGCTCCTAGTTTAATTTTTTTCATGGCAACAATTTGTCCCGTTACCGAATCTTCTGCTTTATAAACGATTCCAAATGTCCCTTCGCCAATTTTTTCTAATTTTCTATAATCTTCCATGTTTGGCACTCAAGACTTGTGGTTCCCATTCAATATAAAGAAATTTAAAATGTTTTACAACCGCCAAATAAACAAGCGTTGCATTTCATGAATGCGTAATTTAGAACTAATCATTGAAAAAAATTTATGATCAATGTAAGCACTCTACAGTTTGAATGACATACGTTCCGGAAAATACCATTTGATACACAAACGCTAGTGTATCATGTAAAACACTTCATATTTAGATAAGAAAAAAAATTTCTGATGAACTGTTTTAGATCACTAGAATTCTGCAAATCTATTTAGTGAGTAAAGGAGGCAGAGAGAAAAAGAGTAGTTTGCTTGAACCTTAAAGTTCAGTTTCTAGTTAAAATATTACAAAAACTTACAAAAACACCTGCGTTCGAATTAAAAAGGAGTTAATAGTCAAAAAACTATTAAATACGAAAATACTAAAACAAAATACTAAAATATATCACATATGTCCATGGTATAAAGTTTTTAACTGTCTTAAAGTAGGTTTGATATAGATAAAGAACTAAGTATTTTTTGTAAATATTTATTTTTAAAATATACTAATGATATAGATGTAGTATATAAAAGCAAAAATTTCTTAGAAACATATAGGCGATAATAAAAAAATGTGTATATGAATTTGTATATAAAATCATTCTAGAACGTAGTGGAAAATACAATGTGCCTGTGATTTATGTATATTATGTTTTATATTAGGTTTTATACATAAGAAATAATATACAAATCATGCAACAAATAATGCTTCTACAAATAGAATAATATTGCTATTTAACAATTAAAAATAAAAATATAAATAATTAATTCAATTATTCTACAGGTGATTAATGAGTTCGTTCTAATTTAAACACAGCAAGTGAATTTGTTAATAAAACTTTCATAGCAAATTAACAAAACTCCAGCAAAATATGCAAACATAAAACTCTAATACGGCTTTAGGTCAGTTGGTAAAAGTGCGCTGACTCTAAGCTTCAAATTTGGCAGGCCACGAGTTCGATTCCTTGTTATTGCAGTCTCAAAAAATTATTTACGAATAATTAAACACAAGAATTATTTCCAAGACCACTGATGATGGAAATTTGGCAATACTCGAAACAGCTGTATGAACAGCCAAAAATTCAATTAATTAAAATAATATAAAAATGAATTTTTGTTGTTGTAGTTCACTACTTTTCTAGAAAACCTCTTTATTATGTTTTTATACACGTAAATATTTTTTATAGATTACTTATTCGTAAAAATATTTTTTAAATTTGCATACATATGTGGTGTGTTAGTTCATTTATAGCAATACTAGCTGGTGCGTGTGCGTTGACAGATCGATTGCCAAAGAGGACGCTTTTTATTTTTGTGCTGCTTTTGTACTTTTGTTGCTCCTAAAATTAAACTGTTTGCCTTTTCGTATTTTGTGGTTGCTGTATCCGGTACACATATTGCCCTGTTTTGTATTCCTTTGATTTTATTGCCTTCGCATCTTACATTATCTTACCTTTTTACCAAAATCGTTTAGAGTCGGAACTATGTATAAAAGTATTCACTAATTATTCTGTACATACGTGAACTTAAAATAATAATTCGAATTAAAACTTATTATTCACACAAACTAATACTTATTTATATGAGAACTATAGATCAGCGTACATGCAACTAACCTGGCAAGTCCATAAACTTAGTCAAGTTCCTAACTTTACTTACTAACTTTCTCTAGCTCTGTTAGGTCGGTACGAAAATTGTAAATCATGTCCAAGCCATTGATTTATACTGACATATGAGGCGGCGTACAGTTTTCTCCACATCCGCAGAGCCACAATCCCGGCAAAAGTCAGATTCGTCCACGTTGCATTTGTCTAAATGTATGCATATGTGTTGGATACTTACACGTCTAGCTAGCTCGTTAAGAAAAGCTTGAAATTCTCTAATTGTTAGGGATACGGTAGTAGCGGTTACTAGAGATTTTGTGGCAGCTTAACAATCCGAGATGATTACAATGATTACATCGGGGATTTTTTTACCTAGGACCCATTGTCGATGCGAAATGCTTAGACCCAGTTTATCTGAAAATATGTCACTGCCGACTAGTTCATTTATTTACGAACTCTAGTCAATTGCGACAGAGATCCATATTGTAATTCAACATGATCGCCCTATTTCAATTCTGAATCAGCATTGAGTCTAGATACCACTAATTTAGCTTGTTTTACCAAACGCCAAGATGGCAGCCAATGAATCGAAGTAAATAGAGCCTTCGTTGCTTTATGAATTTTTTTACCCAAGTTAGTTTTTCAGCTAGAGTCCAGTATAACACCTAGATACTTCACATTTGTGCTTAAGGTAAGCGAGGTGCCTTTTGATTTCGGTTAAGGAAAAGAAAGGAATTTTATGCTCTCTAGTGCAGAGTATTACCTCCTTTTTCTGTGTTAACACTGACACTTAATTAACAATATCTTTCTGCCACAATGACGAATGGAGAGTTTATTACATTGGGCAATACGTGGGGAAGTTAACAAGTTGACGGGATAGCAATGTCATCTGCATAGGTTATAACACTGCATCTGAACTATTTTAATTGTTGTTTAAGCAGTGTGTTCACTGCCCTGTGACGTATTATGATAAACCACTTTACGAGATTGTACACCTTCAATACTAAAGGTAATAATTCCGGTTTTAAGTAGTAATTCAACAAATTTCACCAAACGTCAGATCTGAGAGTGATTTTATAATAGCATTAGGGTCAACGTTGTTGAAGGCACACGAGATAAGAAGAAAAGAGCAAGGCTCTATCAACTTGCGAAATGAGCTTATTGATTGCTGTCTCGACAACCTTGCATCTGGTTGTCTGCGATGTGGAGAGAAGTGCCGGATTACTAGTGCCCTTGATATGTAGGTCAAGAACCTTTTTCAGCACTTTCAATAAAAACTTCTGATAAAGACAGTCTGATTAGCCTTTATTCCTTGGGGCTATATAGCAGTTTGAGAATATTATTGTAAATGTTCAGGAGCCTTGCAAGGATGACGTATGCGAATGGTTCACTTAATTTCAATGCTAATCACCTCAAAAGAAGTAATGTTGTTAGAGGGAATTGGTGCGATATGTTTAGGTACAGAATGTGAGAATGACAAACTCCCTGGAAAGTGTTTGTTTAGAAGAATTTCGAGAATCTTCTTTCTAGAGTTGGTCCAGTGACCATTTGGAGCCCGAATATAGTCGAGGCATTATGGGAAATGTTGAGAATTTTGTGAAGTTGGTGGGTTTCAGAAAAAGTTTCTATATTACCACCAAAGTTTTTCCAGAATGCTCTTTTTACCCGTCTTATGGCACAGTTCCAGCTCCTTTGCTTCTCGTTATATGAGGAAAATTCATATGTTTAATAATTTCCAAATTATAAACGTTGTATGAGTCCATATCTGGATAAAAAATCTGCTCCTATGGTTGGTGTTCTTACGTCGGCTATGATGAAGCTTCAACAAAAATCACATCGAAGACCTAGGTCAACTTTTAGCCTTTTGATTCCAAATGTATTTATTGTTATATTGTTCACCGCAAATAATCGGTCTTCAATTGTAATTGAAGCTGGTCTGGTATTGATGAGAGTTACTGGCACAACTAATATAACTGAACCTGTGTCGATTAAGAAGTTCAATTTGTTAAGTCGGTCAAAGTCGTGGAGACGGGTTTCGATCGTGCAGGTGAAAGGTACGTTATCACATGTCGCAATTGTTTGTGATAATGTTTTTAGTTTTTCGCTGTTTGTGTTGTACTGTGATTTCCAACTGCGTTGCTGAATTCACATGGTGGCATTTAAACGCCTTTTCGTGACAATGGTCCGCACTTCTACAGTTTTCAGGCTTTTAACGGCGACGACGATTGATTAAGATGAGTGTTGAAGTTGCAGCCATCATGAATTGTGGAGGTGGTAAGTTGCCTGATATTCGATCCGCCAATTTAGCCGTGCTTTCTAAATTTCTGGCGTTGCATTCTGAGAACATGCATCTAATGTTGCTGGGTAAGCGTTGTGACCATAGAGTTGAAAATGCATCTTTAAAAATGTTAATACCAGCTAAATTGTTCATATTACAAAGCAATAGTGAAGGTCGCTTGTCTGACAGCTCTAAGTTTGGAAGCAGTTTGATAAGTTGTTATTGCTTTGATTCTTGTTCACCAAAGCATTGCATCAATTCATTTTTCGGTATTTGTCGGAGACTGGAGACTGTTTGCGATGTCAGCTATTTGGCTAAGTGTATTTGCGTCAAGTGCAGTGATAACTGTTTAGAACTTAGAAATATCTGATGTTATTCTGTTCACATGTAGTAACCCGTCGATTTGTGTGAACCATAATTCGGATAATTTAATAATATTATTTAAATAAATAAAATTAATCTAAATGCGTAAATAATATTTAAATAAATAACATTTAGAGACGTACATGATTCTGGGGTACTTATTTTTTCCCAATCTAATAAATGATAACTGCGTTTAATAAATTTATTTATAGAAACATCCAAATAAAGAAATATGCTGTAAACGAGCATGCTGGTAGGTGATGGTAGGTCAGTATCTATACCTATTATTGTGATGTAAATTTAAATGCACTTTTTTTTCAGGTAATTTACTAACAATAATTAAATAACGGCCGTAAGCCATCAGATACAAAGAGGGATAAACACGTACTTTGTGTAGTGCCGTAACTATTGTATACTGTCGGTATGGTCATTTCTCAATTATGAGTGCTGGCTAATTATAATCGGGGGGATGCAAGCAAAAGTGTCTTAATTTAATGCTCAAATACAAGGTGGAAATGCACATGCCGAGGGATGAATGGCCATAGATAATTGGTCTTCAATATACGAACTCTGAATACCTGTCGACCTCTAGTTTTAATTAGACTTCTCACGATAAACGGGCTATGTCGTGGGTGAGCTTTCCATCCCAAACTCAATTAATTTTCCTATGGATCATTTATATAACAATTCTAACGAGCTAAATGTCACACTGTCGGCATCACCTTCGAATGATTCTGTTCGTTTAATGCGGTTTTTTAATTTTAAGACCGTAGTTTGTATTTCTTCACATCAAAACTTTA